GCAGATATATAATAAAGGGTGATCAATGAAAGGCCTTTAATATATATTATACATATACATATAAACATACATATACATATCTACAGACACATATACACATGTACACACATACATATATAAAAACATTACTATAAAATCTGTAGGGAAAGTCAAGTATGAATACAAGTTTAAGGCGAAAAGGAAAGATGTACAGTCCAGACCCTTAAAGAAAAGCTTTGCATGTATTTTTAAATGGATGATAAGCTGATGGTTATGAAACTGCTATGCTGTTTAGATTCCTTTGTATTTAAGGAATGATGTGACCATTTTATTTTAAAATTTTCATATTTTTAATGTTCTATAAGTTGGGTCCTTTGCAAATATTTGAACTATTGATGAAATAGTCTAGATGTCAACTTAAACATGTGTAAGAAGGACAGCACTTTCCAAAACTCTGTAGGTGGCCACTCCGTGGAAAACGTTTGAAGAACCAGCAGGGTTTCTCCACCTCGACACCGTTGACATTTGGGGCCAGTGACTCTTTGCTGGGGACACTGCATCCTGTGCATTGTAGGATGTTTAGCAGCCTCCCTGGTATCTCCCCACTAGTTGCCAGTAACTACTCCACTTTCCCAGTCATGACAACCAAAAATAACCCTAGACCTTGCCTAATACCCGCTGGTGGCAAAGCCTGGCCCTGGTTTAAGGCCACGGCTGTGAAGCAATCTCAGGGCCCATTGCTTGGGTGATTAGACGTATTGCAAGAGCTGCTCTCCACCTGGGTAGAGTGTGGCTGTTACACACTTGGGTGTTTGGCGCCCAGCAGTGGGTTCAAGCCTCAGCTCTCTCACTAATAGGGGGGGCAACATTGAGTAAGTTGCTTTTTCTCTCTGTGCCTCAGTTTCCTCATCTGCTCAAAGCGGATAATGGTCATACCAAGTTGCCAGTTTGTGGTCTAGCGTTTTTGAAATGAGGGAATGTGAGGATCAGAGGAATGAAGTGAATTACCTACAGTCACATGGGCACCAGCGGAGCACCAAGGACTAGAACCCAAGTCACTTCACCCCTCTCAGGCTCCCTCAGGCCTTCCCCCATGGGCCACACCCTCTGGGCTGGGTGTCATTCCAGGGAGTGTCTGAATGCCTGTTCAGTTTGGCCGGGATGTTCTCGGGGGTCAGGGAGAAGTGCCACTGAGCTGCACAGCGCGTGGAAGAGACATTTCCTTTGGGGAAGGCCCAGGGGAGCAGGAGCTCAGCTCATTTTGGTCAGCGGGCTCTACTCACCCGGGTGACCTTGAACCAAAGGGTAAGATGATGAAGCTAATGACAACGAAGATGACGACGATGTGTGAACTAGAAAAGTCGTCTCATGTGATGGCCACAACACTCTTGGAATGGATATATTACATCAAACCATATGAAATTGCTGACTTTTGACCCATAAAATCAGAACTCTACATGATCCAACCTAATACAATGATCTCATTCTATAAATGAGCAAATGGAGACCCAAAGGCCTTAAGTGGCTTGCCCTGGGCACAGCAAGTAAGGAGAAGACCGAGGATTTAATTGCTTTGATTCCAAAGCTCTGCACAGCATTTCCTACTCTTCTGCCATTCAGCTCCCCGCCCTGCTCTTAACGACTCGCTTGCCAAGAGGGTAAGGCACACATATCTCCGCACATAAAAGCTTCATGACTTGCTTGAGCTCTCTTCTGCACGACAACCATGTGGTCCCTTCTTCTCTTCCATCCGGACTCCTCTGTCTTCCTCACTTTGCTTGTCTGATCTGTCCCCCAGCCCTGTTGAGTTTACTCCTTAAATGCCTCACCTACCTGGACACTTACTCTAATCTCACCTTCATCTCCTGCTCAGGTCCCACAACAGCTTCCTCGTGGGCCCCTCTGCCGGCGTCCACCCCTGTCCCCTTTACACCAAAGCCTCAGTGGTCTCTGTAGTATGCGGATCTGACTCCTTCACTCTTCTGCTCTAACTCTTCAGTGGCTTTTCCTGCCATACTTAGCATGAAGGCATCCCCCCTGCCAGTGCCCAGGCTCTGAGGATCTGCACCTGCTCAACTTTTGGGCCTTTGTCTTTCCCTCTGCCACTTGCTCTGCTCCCTGAGCTCCTCCCACCTTCTGGCTCTTCCCCCGGGGCCTGTGCAGTCTAAGTTCTCTCTGCCCAGAATGTGTTTCCCACTCCCTTCTTTACCAACTTCACAGCTATACTTCCTACAAATATCAGCTCAGAGTCACTTGCTCAGGGAAGCCCTCCCTGATCTCCCAGACCTAGGTCAGGTTCTCTTGTTATATTATCTCCTAGAACTCCTTTCCCTCGGATCAGTGTTTATGTTTACACATTCACATTCATTTGTGTGATAAATGTGTGCCTCCCCAACACCCCTGCAAGCTCTCTGAGAGCAGGGGCCCTGTGAACGAGCCCCTGCCCGGCACCTGGCACACATACTCTGGTATCAGGATGGCTAGAGGCCGCTCCCTCTGATCCCCTTCTGGATGGCCCTCTGCCCTATGGGTGCACTCCCTTTGCACCTCTGACCACTATGACCATTCTTCTCCCTCCTCTTGGGGAGCTCCTATGCACCCCTCCAGGCCTTGCCCCCTGTCACTCTTGGAAGCCCCCTGAACTGAGCTGGCTGCTATCTATCACCTTTGGATTACTTTTTTCTCTGCACCCTGTGCTCACTCCTTTCTGCATCCCACTTAGAGTATTGTAACGATCATGTTTCTACTCTCTGTCCCTTGCGTGCCTGTGAGCTCCCTGTGGGCCTCACTGCATCCCCAATGCCCAGCACGGCATCTTGTCCCCAGAGCACGTAAGGGGGTGCTTCTGGAGTGAATGCAATGCCTTGTCTTCAGGACACGAAGCTTCAGATTGGCTTTTCTGGTACCCGGGCATCCTCTCCCTGCCCTCTTCCCCCACCCACACACCGAATCTCTATCTATAAAACAGGTGTTTCCCCAGCAGCTGGGAGAGATTTTCACATAATCTCTCCAGTCAAGGAAAGTAAACATGCAGTGCCCTCCTGAAGCCACCCCTGTGGACTTAAAATGTGGACACCGACAGGGAGCAAGGAGCCAGGGACTCTCGCATGCATTGCTGAACGTTCATTTGCTTAACTATTTGATGGTTAGCATAACGTATCTACAACATCTAACACTGGCAAAGGGCACATCTTCTGAAGTTATTACAAAGTATAAAGTGGTTTCTAAGAAATGCATGCATTTTTGAAAGCTTATTTACTTGAGGGCTTACTAAATTAAAGATATTTAAACCTGTTAATATTTCAGGGGTAATTCTTTAGGCCTCCCAGACCAGCTTAGGTAACCGATTGCAGATACAGCTGGTTAATTGTAAAACATCCCAGCAGCTAGTTAGGTTCAGAGCCCCAGCCTTCTCCAACTACATTCTCTCTCTGCAGCCCCTTCCTGTCGATTAGCCTCACCCAGTGCAGGTGACGCTGCCACTCGGGTAGCCCCACATCCGCCCCACCTACAAGCATTGCTGCAGGTGGGACCCTCCTGCCTGAATGACTGCAGCATCTCTGCTTTTTCGTCCCTACCCTGTCTATCCTACAAGTCTTGCCAAGCTGCTTCCCTGCAGCACAGCTCTGAGGAGGTCATGCCTGGGCCCGAAGTGTTCAACAGCTCTCTGTGCTCACTGGATGCAGCCGACACTCCCAGTGCAGAGCCAATGCCCACACCCGCTGGGCCTGGCTGTCCACCCCAGGCACTCAGGCACCAGGCCCCAGTCTCTGACACGCCTTCTTGAATTCTTCTCTTGCTGCAATTCTTCGTCTGTGTGCCCGCCCTTCCCATCTTATATTGCACCTACCTGTGCAATCATACTTACTGTACTTTCCCATGGTTGTAAAACTCCTTTAAAAGATTATCTTTTAATTCTTCCTTTAGCCAGTCTCTTCCTCGAATTCTTTGGTTTGTTTCATCAGTTCACTTTTTAATTTGTGTCAGCATTTTGCCAGGAAGAATTTTCAGACACACAGAGAGTGGAAAGCATTTCATACCCACCATCCAGGTTTGCCATTAACACATTGCTATAGATTCATCCCTCTATCTGTCCATCCAGCTTGCTTGTTGGATGCATTTCAGAGCAAGCTGCAAACATCAGTGTGCTTCTCCTCAAATACTCCAGATGGATATCGTAGCTAGAGGTCAGTATTTGTCTATAGCTTTTTAAAGCAAACTTTGCCTACAATGAAATGCACAGTTCGTGGGTGTACCATCTTTGAGTTTTGACAAATCCTTTATCTCCTTTTTAATGCAAGGCTTGCTCACAATAACTGAGCCACATTCTCCCCATGCCTTGTCCAAGGGGGCAAGCAGTGGTTCTTCAGAGCAGCAAAAAACCTTAGATATTACTATGGTCCTTGGAATCTCCAAACAGGTATACAGCATATCTGTGGTATTAAAATTTCATGGTGGAGTGATTTTAGAAACAAAATGTCTCAAAAGAGTCTGAGAATAGAGGAGGAGGATGATGGGAAAACGTTGATAAACATCGTTCTTTGCTAGACAGGAAAGAAGGAACTTTGAATATGTGATGAGATTTAAATGGAACTGATGTTTATGAAATGCCTAGAACAGATACACGTAATAAAAACCCCACATATGTTCATGATAATCACCAACATTTATTGTGCACATACTGTGTACAGGCACTATGCTAAAATTTTCATGCACATTATCTCATTGAATCTTGCACCCCCTCCATGAGGAACTCACCATTATTATTACAGACAGGGAAACTGAGGCGTGGAGGAGTTGGTGTAATGGTTCAATGTCAAACCCCTGGTAATTGACAGTGGAAGGATTCAAACCACTGACTCCAGAACCCCACATCAAGATGTCCTGGGGAAGTGACTCCTCTCTCATAATGGGGTGAGGTCACCTACTAGTGAGAGAACAGAAAGAAGAGATAGATGCAATTGACTAGTATGCATAGCCATCAATGACTTGGGACTGACAGATGGTGTCCTTGTGTCCAGGGCTATGATGATGACCGCCTGCGATCTCTCAGCCATCACTAAGCCCTGGGAGGTGCAGAGCAAGGTATGGACCCCTCCTGACCCAAGCGGAGGGGGATTCCAGTACAGGTGACAGCAGCCAAGGCAGCTTGGGGTCCCAGCTACAGAGGCAGCCCACCCTCATTCCGGCCTCCTCTGGCAAGACATGGAAACCACTTTAGGACCCCTTCCATGGAGACAGCAGGGTGGGGGTGGTGGGGCATGTGTGGGGCTTCTGCTTTTGCTGAGCTGGAAATCCTAGTGGAGGAGAAGCAAGGGACCAAGCAGGAGGATTGGGACTGGGGCTTGATTCCATGGGGGTGTGGGGGGTCTGCCCATTGCAGGTAGCTCTGCTGGTTGCTGCTGAATTCTGGGAACAGGGTGACCTGGAGCGCACGGTGCTACAGCAGAATCCCATTGTGAGTAGAAAGGAGACATCGGCCTGACACGTGGTGTGTGATCTCATCCTGATGGACATTAGTGACTTTGCCATGTCAGAGAAATGTGTCTGCTCCCCGGCCCCTGCCACCCAGCTGTGCGACTTTACCATTGTGATGACCTTTTGCTAATGCAGGGGTTCTCAAAGTGCAGACCACTGTGAACACCCTGACTTGGGAGCATATTAGAGATGCAAATTCATAGGCCCCACCCTAGACCTACCTAAACAGAAACTCAAGGAGTAAGCCCAGCGACGTATGCCCTCCTAGAGTTCGGGACCCCTACTCTTATGTATGCGTCCTTAACTCAGCTAGGCAGAGATTGGCAAGGGGACGCCAGAATGTGGATTTCCCTCCTAGTTCAAGCAGTCTGGGAGCCCGTCTCCCCTGGCCCTGGTCTAACAGCACAGAACATGCAGGGGAAGGAAGATCTTATTTGTCCAAGCTGAGATCTATTGATGGTGACAGTTAAACTTGACAGGGAAGTCAGCCAGCTCCCCACTGGAGACCAGGTAGAGGACTCACCGAGGGCCCGGCGCGAGGGCAGGGCTAGGAAGTTAAGGTCGGGCAAAAGAGAGAGACATTCTGGGGATAGAATCACAGATACAGGGATGGGCTAAACCTGTGAAATGCTAAAAGTGCTGTGGTAACACGTGAGGCTTGGGCAGGGCCCCAGGAAGAGCAGTGGGCTGTGAGAGCAGCAACAAACATGAACGGCAAGGGCCTGTGGGCTGTGTGCTTCTCTTCTTCCTTTTCATACCTTAAACGGTAGAGAGAATGGTTAGTGAACGCTACAGACCCATCAGCCAGCTCCGGCCACGAGCAGCAGCCCGCCATTGTGGTTTCATCTATTCCCCCTTCCCCATTGCATTTCTTCACCTTTTGGCTGAAGTATGTGAAAGTAAGCCCCAGATGCCATTTCCTCCATGAACACTTCATAGTGTGTATTTCTGAGAGATGAGAACTTCAAACACAAACACACACACACGACCACAATACCATTATCACACTCAAAATGAGCAACGTTTCTTTATTGTCACCTAATCTCCAGTCTGTTCGTTTTTGATTAAGTAACGAAAATAACTTAGCTTGTCTTGTCAAATTAGGATCCAATCAAGGAACAAACTCCCTCTTCTCGTGTTTCTTAAGTCTCTTTTCATCAGGAGTCAGTTCCTCGTCCCCTTTTTTTCCCTTTGCATGCCATTCACTCGTTGAAGAGGTGGGTGTTTTGTTGGGCAGTTTCCACGTTGTGGGTTTGGTTGTTTACAGCCTCATGGTGTTACCCCATCCCTGTATTTCCTGCAAACTGCTAGTTAGATATGGAAACTTGAGCAGTTTGAGGTTTGATCTTTCTTTTATCAAGAATGGCCCATGGAGAGGGTGAGGTCCCCACCTGCGTCAGGCAGGAGGAGCCCAGGGCAGTTAACACTTTCTCCCCCGTAACAGCCCATGATGGACAGAAACAAGGCGGATGAACTCCCCAAGCTGCAGGTCGGCTTCATTGACTTCGTCTGCACTTTTGTCTACAAGGTGAGTCCCTTGCTTTCTCAGGCCCCATCTTTGCCTTTGTCTCTAATAAAGCTGGGCTTCCCAAATGCCATCTGGAATAATACGGCCTGGTAAGTGACCAGTTTGGGTATTTTCTGAAGCTCTTCTGAGGACCAAATGCAGCGGCAGGCCAGCCCTCTGGGGTCTCGCGGGACAAATGCCCAGGCATTTCCGACTCGGGAGGAGGAAGCAGGGCAGATTTACTCCCTCCCAACTTCCCTAGCTGGTGGAAGCATGACAGTTTGACCTTGAGCTCTTGCTCAGGGTTAACGTCTCCCTCTTGAGAATCCCACTGCCCCCAATTCCATATAATCTGTGCCTCCATTCACCTCCCATCTGTTCCTGTGACTTTGGCCATGTTATACAACAGGACACAGAGGCCACAGGTGAGAAATGACAGGCCCGGGGTCACCAGGGCCAGCCATAAAACGGGATCACAGCCCGGGCCCCTGACCCCCTAGTCCAGGGCTCTTCTGTTGCATGGGCTGCATTCGTTCTGTGAGGAAGAAGTTCACAGGCTCCCGAGGCGGGCCTCTGATACAACACAGGCTAATGGGGTTGGGGGTGCTGGGGGCGAGGAGGCTGTGTTATACCCAGATCAGCCTCTGCCTGCAGCCTGAACCCCAGGCTGTGGCCCCTGCACCAGAGGCTCTGCCTCTTCCAGGAATTCTCCCGTTTCCACGAGGAGATCACTCCCATGCTCGACGGGATCACCAACAACCGCAAGGAGTGGAAAGCACTTGCTGACGAGTATGATGCCAAGGTGAAGGCTCTGGAAGAGGAGAAGCAGAAGCAGCAGGCAGCCAAGCAAGGTTCGCGGGGAGGACGGGGAGCCCTGACCTTCACGTGGGTGCTCACGGTGTGCCTGGCCTGGCCTCAGAGCCTCACCCACGGGGTCCTGTCCAGGCCTCCCACCACCGACTGTGGTCCCCATTCTACAGGAGGGCTCTGAGACTCTCGGGAGTGCTGTGGCCCAGTCACACCGTTAGTAAGTGGCTGAGGCTGCTTCGCCAGGCTGAGGCTCCCAGCACAGATCCCCTCACTGCCCTGCGACCAGTGTGGGACAGGTTCCAATTCGGAGGCTGGGGACCTAGGGCCCTATCTAGGGAAAAGGGGAAAACCTAAAATTATTGGTTGGAAAGAATTTTAGAGGTCCTGTTTCCAGGCTTCTGTCTGATGTTTGAATTCTGTCTGTACTGTTACGAGCCTTTGCTTGCACGCTAACCAGTGATGGAGGGCTCACTACCTTCAATGAAAGTCTCATCCAGTGCCACTATTGGAAAGCTATTCCTTGAACTGAAACTATTCCCCTTGTTCAAACTTCCACCTGGTGGACAGAGGCCTGCCTCCAGGAATCAAACAGGATTCGTGTTTTTCCATCTCTTCCCAGTCTACAGCATTCTCCCCCTCCCTCAAGTCATTTCCTTTACTGGTTGTGCGGCCCTTGTCCCCCTCACAGGACATGGCTTCTGGTCCTCACCGCATCCTGCCCGTGCTCCTGTGCACACTGTCCCTCTACACGTGGTTGTCAGCACGGACAGGTCGCCAGCTCTGCTCTGCGCAGTGCGGGTGATTCTGAACCGGCAGCTACAAATGTGGGGCCATGCCTCATGGTGTTGTAAGTTGCACTTTGCCAGCTCCAGGTGGGGCGGTACTACAGCCACCCCAGGTTTGTATCACAATTACAATCTTCCAGGAAATGGCGGTCGAGTGTCCAAAGGAAGAAGTGCCTCTTTCTAACTTGCCCAAATCGTCTCAGGGGCTAGTGGCACGTCTCTGCAAACTTCTGGCCTGCGAGATGTCTTCTGTTTGGCCTGCGTTTGTTTAAAATGTGAACTAGCTGTGTACATTTAAAACTGGGGGTACTTCCAGTTTGAAAAATCCAGATTTCCAGCATATTTTGTGAAGGACGGAGATCTGGCCTCCTGCCTCTGCATTTGTGCAGGATAGCAGTGAGCCGGGGCTGAGTGGCAGCCTCTGCCCACCTGTTCAGGTGGGACAGGGCGTCTCTCCAGTGGGCACAGTCCCCACCACTCCCTGCTGCCTCTCAGACATTGGTGCCAAGTGGGGGTGGCCATGTATCATCATGACTGCTATTTTTCTTAGTGTAGAGCAACATCCTTGCTTTATCAGGTCCCCCCTTCTCCTCGGCTTGCCTTCAGCATAACTGGTTATCTGCTGCTGGCCTTGGAAAACCCCGAATTTGTGACTCTTGGCCAATACCAGGGCAAAGGGGAAGCCCTCCTGCAGCCCCCTCTCAACTGGTGTTCTCTTTCTGTCTGATTGCAGCAGGAAATCAGCCTGGCGGGACCCCGGGACTCGGAGGGGGCGCCCCGGCGTCCAAGTCATGCTGTATCCAGTAGGCCCACAGGGATCTGCTGACCAGAATGGCCCTGCCCATCCTAGGAAGAGACCACCCAAGCCGGCGGCAAACAGGACACCTCCTTGAGAAGTAATAGAGTCATAGGATTTGAAAGCTGAGTGAGACTTTAGCTTACTTCTTATCCAGGGGCTTTCAAACAATGTTCCAGCCTTGAGGATTTTTTCTTGAGCTAAAACCAACATTCTAGCTTTTGTAGACATCAATTAAATATATAATTAATGCCAGACTCAAGTGCCTACTCAGGATTCTTGTTCTCATGCTTTCATTTTCTATTTTATTACAACCATTTTCAATCACTCTCAAAAGCTGAGCATCATACAGTGAATCCGCACCTACCACCCTACTCCAGTATTGAGATTCTGCCACAGCTGCTTCACCTGTTCTCTTATATTTTCCAACTTTTTCTTGGATGAAGTACGTAGAAGACGATTCCAGACATATTATTCTGGACATAAGGGACGTGTGTTCTAACATCACCCATCACTACTACATGCAACAAACGAGCACCCACAACCCAGCTGAGGTTGGTGCTGGGCGAGCTGTCAGGCCCTCTACTGGAGAGCCGAGGGCTCCTTGGTGGTCCAGCAGCTGGGAGCGCTCCAGCAGACGGGCCCCGCGCAGGCCCCTTTGGGGATCGCCTCAGCTGCTTGGAGACGCTTTGCCCTAAGTCACACCCTTTCCCTGGGTGGCCTGCATGCAATGACTGATCCATGCCAGGTGTTAAGGTCTGGTCCTCTTGGTCCTGCAGGGGACAGCTGTGCAGGGCCGCCATAGCTCCAGGACTCCTCGTGGGGTTCCCTGAGGCAGCCACTGGGCTGGCTTTACAGCTCAGCTTCCCCTTCTGCCCACTCCCACCACCTCTCCTGCCCCAGGTGTTCTCCCTGGGGGCTCCTTTGTAATCACCCTGTACACGAGGTTCTCTGCGGCGGCTGCCTTCAGGGGAACCCGACTCGGACAGGGGTCCTTCTCCCCCACCGTCTCTCAAATGTCTGTAATTGTCTGTTTGCTCAAATCTGATCCGAACAAGACATAAACTTTTAGTTGTTATGTCCTCTAAGTATGTTTTAATCCATAACAGTGCTTCCTTTTTCCTTGTTGCAGAAAGTGTCAGTTGTCCCATACTCTCGACGTATCCATTTGCTTTCTCTGTCCCTGGTTCTCCTGTAGGTGGGTGTCGGCTCTCGTTGCTTTGCGGAGAGGGAATGCGTGGTTTCTCCAAACTGGTGGTAAACCACTGATCTACTCTAACTGCCCCTCCCCTTTTTTTACATGAATGAGGACATTGAAGGCCAGCAAGCGAATGGGCTGTGCAAAGTTCATGGCAGTGTCCTTCCAGAGGCAGCTACCCAAGTTCACAAGAACACAGTGTACAGGGCACTCGTCCCTGTGACTTCCACAGCAGATTGGGCTGAGCTCCTGACGCATGAGCCCTGCCTGTACTTTCAGGTCATTATGCGAATAGGGAGCCGGGTCTGGAACGCTCATCTTTTAACTCCTGAGCTAGGTTCCCTGCCTGCCTGAAACCGAGACCCTCAGAGCAGTGGCCTCTCAAGCAAAGGCGTGTCTCTCAGCACGTCACACGCAGTGTTGAAGTGGTAAAGAAGAGGAGTGTCACCCAGGTATATACCGGTGGTGGTGCCGGCCCAGGCTCTGTCCCTTAGGCCGGTTCCCTCCATTCTCCTTAGTCTTCACCCCTCCCCACCCGTCAAGTGAGGACCACAATCTCTGCCACGCCAGCCACAGGGCTACGGTTTGACCAAATGAGACCCTGCACGATGAGGATGGCACCTTATGTTAACGAAGCGCCTCTAGTGCCCCAAGTACTGTGCACGATCTATTTCATCCTCACGACAACCCTGTGGGGTAGAAACGATGAGTAGCCACAGTTAACACAGGATGAAGAAGAGACTCAGAGAGGTTAGGAAACCCGCCCAAGGACACCCAGCTGCTAGGTGGGCAGGTCGGGATGCAGAGCCAAGCAGCCTGACACCAGACTCCTGGCTTGGAACCACTTTCCCTGCAATATCACTGCTTCTGAGAACCTGCCTTTTGTAGGGCCCTGGTGCTCATCTAAGCTAACCACCCTATTTCCTAGTTGGGGTCCGCAGAGGCCAACAAAGTGCCTTGTCCAAGTGTGCACAAAAATGGTAGAGCTGGGTCTCAACACACAGGTCTTGAAGCTCTTGACCCCCCCATCTATTTTTCACCACTGGCCTCAGCTTTGAAGGGACTGTTTTTGTGGCTCTGTGGCCCGGGAGCCTCCCGCCTGACTGTTCATGGTCCCTGATTAACCTGGCCAGGCAACCTTCAGTGAATGGAGAAGCACCCGGTCCTCCTGGAGTTTAGCATCTAGTCAGGGGTGACAGCCACTGAGCAACCACATGGAAGGCCTCCCCAAGGACTCAAACGTGCCGGAGAACCCTGCTGCTAAGGGCAAAGCCCCCATTCATTTTAAAGGAAAAAACCACTATGCGTTCCCCTCCAACCAATGAAATCCAAACAATTTCCGATTGAAAAAATAAATCACCTGAACAATGACAAGCCATTTCCGTCAGTAATAAACGACAATTTGAGAGCAGTTTGCACATAAGACGAAATGAAACAGCTGTCTCTGTTCTTGTTTGTACATGGTTTTCTTCACTGGCATTTCGGCACTATAGGGGCACGTGGGCATCTGGCACTCAGAGTGTACTTAAAAATACTAATGTGGAAAAAATATTACCATTAAAGCAGCTTTAGGACAACAGAAAAGCTAAACCTGAGAGTGCTTTGAAACTGAGGGAAGACACATGCTTCCAAGTCTCGGTCTTGGAAAATGCTGCCTCTCACGTCTCTGGCTGGGAGTGAGTGAGCAAAGGAAAACATTTCTAGTTCACCTACACACAGCACACACTGCAAGTCTGTCCTCCACCTCCTCTGACCAAAACTTGCTTTAGAGTTCATTGCTGAGTGTTTTTGCCTGGAGCTACAAATACTCATTCGGCACACTCCTTCAGTGTGCTTGGGTCGATGCCCCAAACAAGGGAGTCCTTGATCAGAGAGTGGTGTAGCTGCGTAAGTCACAGCGCAAAGCAGCGATGAGACATCTGTTACATGAGGTAAGTCTGAATGATTCACTATGATCCATGGAAAGTGCTGTGAAGGAAGGAGAAGCGAGCTCAGAAAATTCTGGATGGGTGGGGGGCACATGCTGCCCAGGGTCTTATCTGAGAAGGTGACACCGAAAACAGCATCCTTTCCCCAGTCACTCGACAGGCGTGCAGGACCAATAAAGACACACCTGGTCAGGGCTGCGGGTAGTGTTTCCTGTTTAATCTCCATAGTGTATTTGTTAAGTTTATTTATAAGCAGATCACTTCACTATTTACAGTACATGAGCATAGAGATTCTACAGTTTCTGTGATGTAAACAATAACTCCACAGTGGGAGTCTGAGAAAAGAAGCCAGTCTGAAGTATTTACAGAGGTTAAAATAGAACTTTATACTCACAGGATAATAATACATAGAGCAATTTGGTTAAATTATCTATGAAACTATAGAATCTGACAATGTACAAATACAGGAAAACATTTTCTTATTTAGAAGGTAAGACAGATAAATCACAGCAGAAATAAAATAGGGACAATGACAACCACAATAATTAAAAGCAAAGAAGGGTTCTTCCTTGCCTCTCACAGATAAAGCATTTATATAAATAAGGACACAACCCAACAAAATGGAAAAAATATAAAAATCCTCTACCAATTAAAAAAAATAGCAAAACTAAAAACTCGATTTCCAATCATCAGCAGTGTCCTTTAAAAAATTAAAATTTAGCTTTCTATTATAAATAACAAAGCAATGTGTCCCTCTGTGTAGGTGAAATTCTTGCACCTTTCTCAAGAAATGCATCAATGCAATTCCATACACACGCAGACAAACAGGCATGCGGGTGCATGCACGCACACACACACACACACACACAGCCTTGCACTCACACATCCCAGGCTATAGTTATCTCGTTGAGTTTCCGAATAAATGCCCCCTATGGAGTACCCTGGGGATGCCCAGACCTCACAAGGCTAGCCATTCCCTGGTGTGACCCTGTCAAGCGCCAGGGAAAGCCCGGCTTCCTACCGTTCAGAATTCTCTAGGCTGCACGGTCACATGGAGAGAAAATAATTCGAGTCAAGATTTGGAAATGCTGGGAGGGACCAGAGGGACCACCTTGCACAGTCAATTAAGGCTAACTACCAATACTGTCTCTTTAGAAACCTGGGGCTGGGGAGAGAGATCTTATGTTGGTGTCACCACCAGCAGCTGCTCTGGAAGAAGCGGATGCTGAAAGCCAATGCTGATACCATGGCACAGGAGGTGAAGGGGGTGGGTGTGAATTCCCAGAGCGGACCACACCGAGCCGGACTTCGGGGTGGTTACCTTCCCCAGAAACCATCTGGAAATCCGAGTGGTCCGCTTCCCTGCTTTACTGACCACTCTCACCCCCTGGAGATTTCCAACCTGTTTCCGTTGGAATCAGAACATCCCTCAAGAAACAAAGTTGGGAGTAGTTTATGACTTTTTATTCCTAACACAAAAACACTTGACAAGATTTTAATATACAAAATATAGAAACAAAAACAAACAAACAACAAAAACATATATAACCTGTTTGGCTATTTTGGTGGACCCCATCAAAAGCCATGGCCTGTCCCCACACAGCATCCTGACACCCAGCCCACTTGCTTGTCCCGAGGGTGCAGTGCGGCCCACCCAGCAGAGGTTCACTTAAGAGGGTCAGCAGCTTGGCTGCCAGTATTGCAGTTTCAGTAAACCCCTCCAGGGCATCTGGACACAGGGTCCACTCCTATCTCCTCTGCCCACAGGAGAGCTGGTGCGCTTCTCAGTCTGTGTGCATCTGCACGGTTGCTTCTTAATTCTCCCGAGCAGTGTTCACTGGGCTCTAAATATTACAGACAGTTCACTTGCAACATTACATTTCATTCCCAAAGCGGGTGTGGGACAGCAAGGTGGTGGAAAGGATTTACTTGCCTTTCATCTGGGTAGCTGGTGGATACAGTCTTTGGCCACTAGATGGCGACTAGACGTTGATAAGGCAAAGTGCTGAAGTGGAAGCGAACCAATCCCTTCAAGTCACCCAGAGCAAGGCCAGCAAAGTGGAAAAGGAGGCTTTATTATGCTTCCTTGAAGGATCCTTTAACAAAACATACAGCACAGAGGAGATTCTAGCTACATAAGCACCTCCGGGAGGTGCTGTTGCAGAGCCCAGGGACCACCTGCAAAACCGTATTTTTCCAAGCCCCCAATTCGGGCAGCTGGGTTTCTGAGCTGCTTCTTGATGTGCAAGGGATTCTGATGAAAGAGTCTCTGAAAATCTGTCCCCCTATTGATAACAAAGAAGCTTCAGTCACTGCGGCATACCGGTGGCATACTGTTAAAGAAACAAAGAACAAAAGCTGCCCTAATCATACGCAGTGCAATCGATGGAGGCCTCCTGTTGCCCCTTTTTACAATCGTTTAAATGAAATGTGTAAAAAGTGCCTAAGGTAAGCTGTTTTGAGAAAAACAGAGTATTGCTAGTATTGTCTGAGAGCAAGAGACAAACAGCCAAGTGGTCAGAACATTCAGGTTAATACAGTAGCTGTTTGGTGGGGTGACGACAAGGCTAATGCGAGACTGGACATCGCCACCTAGCCAAGCTGGGGTTGGATTCCCACCATCCCCAGTAGAAACTATGGCTTAGACCTGTCCTGGGGAGTTAGCCTTCTGGTGTAAGGTTGCTCTGCCAGGACCATGTGGGTTTGAACCTGCTGCTGGTTGGTTCACCTTGCAGAGCACTTCACCCTGAACGTGAGCTGGGTGTGGCCAGAGAAGGGAATCTGAGCCTATCAGAGAAGAAGGGGACTGGAGTATTCATCCTGTCCAACCAACATTCTCCTTTGCTGGATGAGGAAATACAGGCCCAGGGCCACATAGCAGGGGAAAAAACATCGGCTTTCTCACTCCGAGATGGCTTATCATTAAATGACTTGGTGTGCAAATCCATTTCGATTGGCTGGGCTGTTTTAATTTTTTATTAAAAAAAAAAAGGTAGCAAGATCTAAACTCATGGTTCCATTTCTAGAGCCTCCAACAGAGGCCAGCAAAGGGCTTAGCCCTAGGACGGGCTCTAGGGCTGCTGCTGTCTCGGAAGGTCCTTGGCGCCCTCCCCCCTCGCACCAGCCCCTCCCTGACTCTCTGTCCCAGGCCCTAGGGGAGCAGCTCACACAGCCACAGGAGACCCAGTGTAGTCACATGGAGGCAGGCTGAAGTGTTGTGGTTTTCTCAAAGCGCTTTTATTGGTTCAATGCTAAGTCAGCCTGTGCCTGCTTCCTGGGTGTCTGTCATGCAGCAGGCTCCCAAGGGCCCTTCCTCTGCCCCCACTACCTGTTTCGGGCCAAGGGCATCTCTGTGCTCATGGGCTTCCCAGCTCCCAAGTTCTCCCTCCATTTACCCTGTAGCTCCGGTTTGGCAGACAGCCCTGGAGCCTGTCTGTGTGTGCAAATGCCTTGGGGACTTGGGGACCAGCTTAAACATATTGCACATCAGTACTAAGCGATTTCCTTTCTGCCCCCACGGGAAGTGGTGAGGGGCTCCTTTTCTTTGGCCAATGGAACTACTAGGTTCACTTTATTTGCTACTGTGCATCCTTGATCATATCCGAGGGTGACTGCTAAATCTCAAATGCTAAGAAAATTACTGCAGTTTTGATGTCAAGTCAGATCAACAAATCCCTCTAGGGCGGCTTCTGCTTCATAGTTGGTACGACCTGTCCCTCACGCTGCAGGCTCACCTGTGATTTCAACTGAAACTGAGGCCTGGGATGGGGCTCTGACCTACCTGCCCAGACATAAGAATCTCAGTCTTTTTGGCCCCCACCTATGCCCCACCCATGCAGTGGCCCGGACATGCAGATGGCATACACCTAGAAATCACTCTCAGAACATCAACAAGCATGGGCTTCAGAGTTTCTCACTGCATCATCCTTTTCCATGTTGGGACTTAGGTACTGAGTGAGTCTTTGAGCTCAGAGCATTCCTCCCGCCCCCACTCTCCAGTCCTCGGAAGCCCCGCCTCTCTCCTGAGCTCGCCCTACATGCTACACGGCCAGATCACACAGTAGACCTGGCCGCCCAAACGGTGCTTTTGACTCCAAGCAGTTTTCTGATTTGGGGGACAAGGTGTGGAGGGGTCGGGGTTGGGGGCCTTAGCTACACTCCATCCACTCGTATCTTTGACCTTTTTGATGCATTTTCCTTCGGTAACCAGAGCCCCCGAGAGTGAGGATTCTGATTCAACCTTGCATGGACTGAGGAAGGAGCTGGAAGAATTCCACTTAGCGGTTGGATCAGATATTTTTGGAAAACACCAGCACAGCACAGAGATGGACAGTGCAACCTGCCCTGTGTGGGCGGCCACTGACAGAGTCTGCAGTAAGCTTTATGGCATTCACATGTAAACATCATTGAGAGCAAACACTAGGACAGAGCTACGATGAGATGGTTGCCAATGGCAGCTGCTCCCTCTGGATTACTCCTTAAGTTGGTGGGCAAGAGACCAAGGTTGACTAGTTTTCCTGGAGAGACCTTGGAGTCTCCTTGGTAAGTAATACACAGCACCGAAAGAGTCTTCTGGACAGAGGTGGTCTGCAGGGCTGGTCAGCTCTAGAACCCGCAGCCTTTTCCGTACAGGACACCGAGTGGAAACTGCCGGCTGTCCTCCGCAGCATCCCTCTCCCACCAGCAGCCCCAGCTCTGACCTTAGGCCCATTGCGTCCCATGGCTGTGCTCGATCCCTGCTCTGCTCAAGGGCCAAGTTTAAGTAACTTCAAGAGCCCTGTATTGATCTGAAGTGAAAGGACAGCTTCAGCTGATCCGAAAGATGGGAGAGGCTTGTCCCTCCCTAAAAACCTGCACTTTTTTACCTAAAGGACCACTTGCCCACGGTAGAACCTCTGGCCTAGTCCCACTGAGGAAGAAGCCAGTGGGAGGGCTTAGAGAAGATCTAGTCCAATTCTAAATCTAGAGTTCTTTCCTACCGGCTCCCACAGGGTGAAATCCGTTACTCCTCGGTGCAAACAAGGACTCGGGGAGGCAGCAGATGGATTTAAATTCCATTCCATAACCATTTATTGTGTGCCTACTGTGTGCTAGGCAGTGAACAGCTATAAAAAGAATTTAGAATGTTTGGGTCTGTGCTGTGGGAAGTCCCTTGTTTGGTCCATCTCATACACCCTGCCTCCCCCAAACATCTTCATGTCCTCTATTCCATTCTCCACCCCCACCCCTAATGGGCTGTGTGTCACAGTAATATGGGGAGTCCTGTGCCACTGAATGGCTTTAGAGAAATTTTCTCTCATAGGTCAGGATGTGACAGACAGGAATGGGCCAGCATGAAACCCCGTCACCATATTTAATGTGTGATGGAAACTTTTAGATTAGACCAAGACGTCAAATAGGTTAACCTCTGATCAATTAGTAATGTCTGCCCAGAGCATTGTGATGAGGATTCTAATAGCAGATCAGGCTCAAAGAACCTGAGTGCTGTGGTTGATTAGTTACCTCTGCCACTGGTCAAGGGTGTGGCTACAGTGGTGCTCAGGCTGTGTATTGGCCATCCTGAGCTAGAACCGCCTCAGCAGAAGCTAAGACTGGCAGGGACTATGGAGATCAACTTGTCCAATTCCCCTCAAGTCCCCCCTCTCTCCTCCAGCCTTCTCTGCAGGCTTGGAGTTTCCTTACCACCTAGGACAAGCTCATCAGCTGGCTCAGTTTACCTACTGAGGTATTTGAAAAATCTTTTTTTTAAATCAACTATCGATTCTCAAAGGACTAAGCCTGGCATTAGATAGGTTAACTTAGCTTGTTCAGTTTACAGTTTCAAATTTTGTTAAAGCAGCAGGACTCCTTTCCTTTGCTTTTTAAAATACGAACATTTACCAAGGAGCGCTGGCTTCTGGAAGTGATCCAGCTGGAGCTGCTCTTGCTGGAGCAGAAGGCCATGTGCTCACAGCCTGCCTGGCCACGCGCTCCCTCAGGATGGCCCCCAAGGCACCTGAGGGTCACCCAAGTGGGACACGGCTTTGACATCACTCAAGCACACACATTTTAAAGTAAACTCCAATAAGAATGCTTTCTAAGTTGAAAAGGAGATCGGAGATTGCTTTATCGGTCCCCAACCCTCACACCCTCTTTCTGCTTCTCCGTCCCCTGCCACCCGAACAACTTTACAGCCTAGGAAAAGGAAAGACAAGCTGAAGGGAGTAAGATAAGTTGGTGACTGGCCCAGAAAGGACGACTGCTCCCAAATCACCTGTCCCTGACACTCCAGGTGTGTCAGTGAAGTTCTGATGTCATGTCTACAGGTGTAGGCAAACCACAGGGCCCCTCAGATGGAAATGTGTGCCAGAGCTTGACCTCACCTAATCCTGGCAAATCAGCTGTTTACTTGACCCCCACGATGAGCCTGTAGGTTTCTAGTTTGTGGACCGATTTAGCTGAACTCACCTCTACCAGCTCTGAAACTCTGTGTCTTCACCCAAGCTGCTGCAGGAGTGCAAGACCAGAATCAGGAGGCCCGGCTGGGCCACTGCTCTGCCTACTCACCAACGGGCTACGGGACCTTGGGGAAGTCGGTTCAGTCCCGAGGAACTGCCTGCCTGCCTTCCTTCGGAGGATCCGAAGACCCAGGGCCAGGCAGAAACTCTTAAGTGTGAGCTGGGCACCAGATGAAGGCTCTGAATGTAACTGGACCCAAACTCGTTTGATGAGAGATGGGGAGGGAATTGGCAGCACAGGCCCAGAAACACCTGTGCCCTGCCCCTCGCCGCGGCTGCGGGTCGCACTTCGAGGCAGTGCGGTGCCTCCGGGGACGTTCCGGCGAAGGGAGCAGAGCAGCTCAGTGGCAAACACCTCACACAGTGCATAGTTAGAAATCAAGGAAGCAATACAATAACCCCAGGCACAGTATATCTGAGCCATAAATACATTATTTTAAGGATATACTTTGTTTTTCTTCAATTAAAAATGAGTTTATAATCCTGATCCTATTCACAAGTAACAATTTCATCATCACACACTATAGACAAGAAATGTTATGGCGAACACAGCTGCACGTCTACGAGGGGAAGTCGGTTGGGAAGACGGGGAGGTGGGTGACTGACCCGGCACTTGGACACGCACCTGGGACAACCTGTCGGAAGCGAGGACACTAGTGTGGCAGTGGAACGTCAACACCATGGAAACTCACGGACAGAAGCAGCTTTGTTCAATGTAAACATTGATTTTTTTTAAAAGGACAGCAGTTTCAAGTCTCTCTCTCTCTCTCATGTATGTTTTCTCACACGCTCGCTCTCTCTCCTTCTCATATACTTATTTCCTTTGAAAACGTAAACATATTGAAAGGGCCTTGTCTGAGGTATTGAGGTATTCCTCGAAGGTTAAGGCTGTTATCAGTGTAGGCTCTGCTGGGCCTCCTTCAGCAAGCTGTCGAAATCCATGGCTTCGTACTTGTTTTTCACTGATGCAGGAAGGGCTTCTTCTGAGTTGGAATCTGGGCAGAGGGTGGAGCAGGCAGTGAGTGGGGAAGGCAGTGAGCAACACAGCAAAGCCAGACCATCAGAAAATCTGCCACCGTAAAATGGATGTGGCCCAAGGCCACAGACAGCGCTGGACAGTGAGCATCGGCGCTGCCATTCTGCCGTGACCGTCTCGGGGCCCTGGCTGCTGCTGGTGGAATGGGGAACCGCACACAGAGCACCCCAGAGCTCCTTTAGCCTGTAATTTGCTTCCCCAAACAGCTTCCTGCCCACTGGCAAACCGCCGCGGATGTCATCTGAAGCAGCCTACAGAGGCGATGCCCTCGCCGTCCAGCTGCGGACCCACGTCCTGCAGGTGGGCACACGGCCAGGTGGCAGGCTGCCTGGCCTGCAACCCTCCGAGGTCTGACACTCAGCCCTGCCCTGCAGGAGTGTGTCAGGCTCTCCCCTGAAAATCATTCTCTCCCAATTGTACTTCTTTGTCTTTCGTCACCAACCTGGCCCCAAATGGCGAGGGCGTGGCAACAATATTGTTTCCCCGAGGTGTCCCCATGGACAAGGCTGCCGCCTGCTGGGGCCGCCATGGAGGGCCCCTCGATGGGGCCGGGCAGCCACGGGCTCTGTGAGGTCAAAGAAAAAGCAGTGGTGGCTCTGTCACCATGTGGCTGTGAGCACAGGGTTGGACCCTCCCAGAGGCCACGGGAGACCTGACTCTGGCTTTCTGGTACCAGGCCTGGGTCAGGACAGGACGGACCAGATAGCAGAGGGAAAGCAAGATAGCAGCCTCCCGGCAAAGTGGCTGCAAGGGCAAGCCGGTCAGCACTCGGCGCTCCGCTGCGGCACTAGCTCTGGGTCTCCTTGGAGGAGGTCTCCGCCCTCTGGGTTACAGAGGACAGCGGGCCCGGGTACTCACCGTAGTCAGTGTACCTGGGCCAGCAGAAGCGCCGGAGTCCCCCGTAGCTCAGCTGGAACGAGGGCTCGTCGTGCTTCCGTAGGGTGGCGCCGTTCTTCAGAGAGAGGGCGGCATGCTCCGGACACCGGTAGGTGATGAAGCCGTGCTTCTCGCCCCTGCGGGGGGATGACAAGGGGACCCTGTCACTGGGTCAGCTTGGCCGACACTGTCAGACCACCCGTGACTAGAAAAGGAGCAGAAAGCCCGTGATCCGGTAACCGTGTCAAACAGAGATGGGGACAAATAGAGACGGCCCCCCACACAGAGACGAGGACAGCGGCTAAGGTGACCTCCGCAATGTAACCTAGTAAGAGCAGGTCCTTTACTGAATGCCTGCCAGTGCCGGCCACCTACAGGTCAGACCACCTGTGAGCGGGACGAGAAAAGAGGCTCGGTGGATCTGGAGTTCGCCCGAGGCGGGGGGCAGAGCAGGGTGCCCACACTCAGGCCCCCCGCCCACCGGCTGGTGCTCTCCACACTCCCATTTCCCTCGAGACTCCTATTTTCTGGGACCTGCCCCGCCTCCGCCCCATCCCATCATGCCACCCCAGCCACCATTTCCTTAGCTGCTAACTGGGTCTCGCCCTCCCTGACATCTCTGGTTTTCCCTGTAATCCCACCCTTTGTGCTAGACATCTGTGACATCGGCCACCTCAGCACCATGCCCCTTTATCAGACAACAGCATCAGGTGCTCAGCCAGGCTCGGGGCACCAGGGGATGTCACATGACTGTGGCCTTCCCTGGCCACTGTGATTTTTTCAAGGGTGAGCCTGTCACCCAAAGCAGAACCCCAGAGAATCCACTGCAGGTCTTGGTTGGAACCACGAGGGAGACTCCTGCTCCCACTGGGAGGAGATAAGCTTAGGGGTAGAGGCAGCCACTTTGCCACCATGAGGAAGCCTAACCAGAAAAAGATGCCAAGGCTTGGGGAGCCTAAAGTCAGTTCTGCCCCCACTCCTGGCTCCGCGGTTCCATGAACAAGAGGAAGGATCCTGGCTGATATATCCATCGTCTGCTATGCAGACTCAAGGGCAGAGAAAACATGCAGTGTCCCCACCGCTCAGGGCAGGCTTACCAACAGTAGGGGCTGAGTGAACTGAACACTCAGCCGAACTACATACATTTCCTGACACTTCTCTGAGCCAGGCCACAGCCGATCCCCCTCTACCTCTTTAAATGCCTGAGACCTGTATGTGCCTGTAAAATACTAACAAACTGACCCTTGCCTTTAAAGACTAATTTGCTTTTTGCTTTTGTGTGTTATCTCCATATGATACCCTGAGGACTGTGTAGAAATGCTTCAATTTGTATAATGATTCTTTTTTAGAATTGTGGTGAAAACATGTAACATTTACCACTTTTACTATTTTTAAGTGTACAGCTTGGTGGTGTTAAGTACACTTGTTGTTGTGCAACAAACCCTCAGAACTTCATCTTGCAAAAGCTCTCCACCCAAAACGACTCTCTCTCACCCCCTCTCCTCAGCCCCTGGCAAGCACCCTTCTAGTTCCTGTCCCTAGAAGTGTGACTACTCTAGGTGCCTCATAGAGGGGGAATTATACAGTCTCTGTCTTTTTGCAACTGGCTTTATTCCACTTAGCAGCATGTCCTCAAGATTCATCCATGCTTGAAGCATGTGACAAGGTTTCCTTTCTTTTTAAGATTGAATAATATTCCACCATATCTGGTGTGGCTCAGTGTATTGAGTGCCCACCTGTGAACCAAAGGGTCGCCAGTTCGATTCCCAGTCAGGGCACCTGCCTAGGTTGTAGGCCGGGTCCCCAGTTGGGGCAGGAAAGAGGCAACCCTTTCTTCCTTCCTCCCCCTCTCTCTAAAAATAAATAAATCAAATCTTTAAAAAATGAATGAATAATATTCTATCATATGCGTATACTATATTTTCTTTACCCTTTCATCTGTGGATGGACACTTGGGTTGCTGCCACCTCTTGGCTACTGTGAACAATGGTGCTGTGAATGTGGGTGGGCAAATAGCTTTGGAATCTTGCTTTCAATTCTTTTGCACATATATCCAGGAGTATATGGTAATTCTGTGTCAAATTTTTAGGAACCTCCACACTGTTTTCCATAGTGGCTGTGACATTTACATTCCCACCAAGAGTACGTAGAGTTCCCTTTTCTCTGCATCCTTGTCAACACTTGTTATTTTCTGTAGCCACTCTAATGGATGTGAGGTGTGTAATGACTCTTATGCAGATGCTATTTTCTCATTGTGCTTTCAAAAATTATTATTAAATTAGGATTTAAAAACCTTAATAACTCATCTTGTAAGGTATAACAGTACATACTTGAGAACTGTTTCAAAACTGACAACGTTTATGACATCTAAACTGTGTATTTATATACGACCTATTCCTTGACAGACGGAATGCTGCTTCCCCAGGTGAGTGAGAAAACACCAGGCTGCCCAAGAGAGTGGAAGGTCTGGGAGTGGCTGCTGCAGAGGAATGGAGGGGCGCGAGCAACCTGGGGCTTGCAGCGCGGGGAGGTCCTAATGCACGCGCGCCTTTAACCACCAGGGGCTGTTTGCTGCCTTGCGCCAGCTCCAGGAGTGGAGAGCCTGAAGCAGGCAGAGGCAGACGTGGGGCTGCGGCTGCGGCTCTGCCACAGAGGATCTGCTCAGCGATTTGTCTGAGCTCCCGGGAAAGAACAGCCAGAGAAAGAGTGAGTGCGTACGTCACAGGCACAGTGCTGGGAAGCTTAAGAGAATGATGGAAATTGACTGCTACTCGGCAAACCGACGGTGCACTGGCTGCTGCTATTGGGCCGCATGATCCTGGTCCTTCTCCACATCCAGGCTGTGGATTTCGTCCTCTTTGTTCCACAAACCTTCCAGGGCATTGTCTGTGTGGCCGGCCCAGGGTGGGGACCTCCGCTCCTCCCAACCTGCCTCCTCTGCCAGAGCTCGACTCCACTCACCTTTTGCTTCTTGTCAGCACCTGGCACTCCACAATATCGCCAAACACCTCGAAGCGCCTCTTCAGCTCGCGGGAGCTCATGTCGCTGGAGAGATTCTGAACATATACCACTCGGCCTTCGCCCTGCTCGAGAAGGGGACACAGAGGGGACCCAGTCACTGTCTGGCTCCCATGGATTCTTCATCCCCAGTCCATGACGCCTGGCTGAGTGACACCAGCTGGGGGTGGACTCAGAGAGGACAGTGACCGTCGCTATCCCAGAGGGCCTGTCCCACTGCAGAAGGGGGCAGCAGGGCATTGAATGGGGAACTGACCCCCCACCCCAGCAGGAGCAATTGCTTCCTTGAAGGAAATGAGGCTCATCACTGTTAATATAACGGAGAACACAGTAGCTTCCACACTTGTTTTGAGTCTGAGACTTTTATGGGTAGTAGGGAGGTGCTGGGGTGGAAAGGCAAGGTGGTAGTGGACCAGCCTCAGCAGGTAGGTTATAGAGGCGGCTGGAAGGAAAGCAATGGGGCAGAGGACACAGGGCTACTGCAGCCAACATTATCCTTGGTTCTGCCCAGGGCAGTGTGCACACACTGAGACAAAAGCCATCTTCAGGTGAGCTTGGAGCCATGCCTGAGGTCCCCTAGAAAATCCCAGCAGAGGGCAGGGGTGGGGGAAGCCCAGTGGTAACCTCCCATCCACGATTGTGTCTGGTTAAAGCCACTGCCCTGGGAAGAGTCACTGTGACCTGCTGGAGAAACTCTGCCATGTCCCTGGGAACCTGGGAACCTGGGTTCCCACGGGCGATGCTGGCATGTTCTGGCAGGGACAGGCTTTCTGTGGGAATAGGTCAAGGCCAGTGATTCTGGAGCCATCCCATCTCACACCACAGATGGCAGGGAGGAGGGAGGGAAGGCCTGTGTCCAGGGCAGGGCCGTGCTGTCAGCAGTCTGGGGACTGTGCATCTCACACCGGGGTGCGACTCAGTGAAGCTCCAGCAGGAGTCCCCTCCCCCGGCCTCCCCGCACTCGGCCCCATTGTTCTAAATCTTTGCTTGGCCGGCACCATTCGTCCCTCAGGGTGCAGCTCCCCCTCCCCTGCTGCCAGACCGCGTACAAATACATCCTCCCCAACAGTGAAAAGAGCCAGATATTGACCTTGTGATGTGAATTCTCGCACAGCGCTTCTCCTGGTCTGTAATTACAGCGTCTGTTCCCTGTTTATGTGCCTGTTGTCTCTCTCCCTCTCCCTGCTGCCCGATCAGGGGAGTGGAGCTCATCTGTCTTGTTCACTGTCGTTATCCAGGGCTTAGGACAGTGCCAGGCACGCCACAACTGCTGAATGGTCACACACAGGTTCTAAGATGCTCCATGACAGCCTGCTTGCAGACGAGCTCTGTACCTCTGCAGCAGGCACACTCTATGTGATCCCCCCGGTCCCCCCCCCCCCCGAAAGCATCTACCACGGGAAAGGAACAAAGTGAGAATCTATCTGCCTTTTTGTGCTTCCGTCTTCCTATTCCTTCCCTCCTTTCTAGTGGAGGGGCTGGCTGCACCCCAACCCACCCCCGGCAGCCTCCTGGTTAATGTTCCCTGTGGGGCAGGTGCTTTGCACTAGGTTCACCAGGCAGGGCTGGGCCCGTGGACTCTCTCTGGTGGAAGATCAGGGAGGTGAGTGGGGAGCAAGAGATGGGGTCTCCTGGCTCCTTAGACCTAATCAATCTGACCCTTGGAAAGCATAAGGCCCAACTCGCTTGTGTACAGATGAGGAAACTGAGGCTCTGGGAAGCTGAAGCACATGCCCAAGGGCACACGGGAGGTGGTGGTGGGGCTGGCGTGTGGCCTGGCCGGCCCGGCTCTGCTCCCCCTGCCACGGCCTGCCTTCTGCCGGAGCCCCTGATGCTGTGCCCGAAATCACCAACAACTGCACGCATCACAGCCAGTCCCTCGCCGTCACTTTGCACGGTGCCACCTTTGACGCCCTTTGGTGACCCTTGTGCTTTTTGAAATGAGAGAAATATAATTATCTTCTGTAGGTCACAAGCCAGCCTCAAAGGGCTTCGGGCCGACCAAGTCCTGGCCCTTCCTACACCCTTGCTGGCTCCCATTGGCTCTGGGCTCCAGGGCCCCAGGTCACTTACAATAGCTCTTTCCCGCTGCTTCCTGGCATGCCGGACGCTTGGCGTTCCGTCTGAACACGGCCCTCTGCTCTCACATCTGTCAGTGAACAAGCAAAGCAGAGGCACTCACTCTCCGAGGGACCACATGGGGAGGGGTCAGAGCCGCTCCCAGGGGAAGGGACGCTTCTCTCTGGACCGGCTCGTGAGGGCGTAACTGTCAGAACCCCACCCCCACCCCCACCAGTGACAGCCAGCACCATGCGCGCGGCTGAACACTGCCACACACCTCCTGCCACCTTCTGGGGCTAGAGTGCCGGGAACCACCACACAGCTGAACCATCACAACCTTCCAAACCCGGCCATCCTACGACTTTAGGAATAGAAAGGCCTTTCCACCTCATTCCCATATTTGAACTGTTGAAAACAACCCTGATGAGGTCTCACGTTTCTCCATTTTCCAGATGAAAACCCTGAAGCTCAGGTTCAGTATGGGATTTGCGAAAGCCAGAAAGCGGGAACCCAGAGGAAAAAGGAGGTCTGCTGACTCTAGACCGCTGCCCTCTAGTGGTTAGTGCCTGGCCCAGAACCCTGGCCATCACAGCCCCATGGCCGGTACCACTCTCAGGCTACTCGTCCAGACGCACCGCCCGAGAAGGCCCATAGGTGCCGCATGCCTGCGGCTGCAAGCCTGCCTGCACGCTGCCCTCTCCTCCGGAGGGGACATGGCATGGGAGGTGTGGCCGTGGCCCAGCTCTGCCACATACTGTCCACGTCCCTGGGAACACAACACAGCACAGAGTATAAGAGCAGGGCTCCGAGTTGGACAGCTTGTGCTGGCACCCTGGCTCTACCACATCCCTGCTGTGTGCCCTTACACCCTCTCAGTCTCATTTCATCTGTAAAGTAGGGACAATCAAAGGTATCCACCTCCTCAGCCCTTTGTGAGGACCAAGTCAGAAAGTGCCTATAACTGCTGAGCTCAGGAACTGCTCAACAACTACTTGCTATGTTATTTCTATTGAACCTCTTGGAGCCTCCACTTCTTCATCTATAAAATGGGGATAAGAAGCAGATGCGCCCTCATAAGTGCATCTGCAAAGCTCAAACAGGGACGTGGCCTGTACATTTTAAAGTGCTAAAGCATTATACAAAAATAGTATCGTCATCCACTTACAACGGAATTGGCAGTTTCCCCTGAAGAGCTGAGAGTGATGGAAAGGTACCATGGGCCTCGAGGTTTGTATTGTTAAACCATCTCAAAACGCTTCCTGTTGACTGATGTTGGGTAGCACAGGAAAAGGAAGGTGGCTCTGGAGAAGGTTGATAACTAGCTGTTCAGGCTTACCAGGTGCTGAGCTCTGCCAGGCAGCCAAGTAGGAACTGAGTTAACCAATGAATTTTCTCCAGTGAACTCAAAGAGTTGAGCCTGAACTTGGCCCAAAAGCAAAAAGAGTAAAAGAAGTCATGGATGATTGGAGAGAGGCTCCCCAGGCTTCGCCAGCCAACCTGTGACTGCCAGCCCTACCTAAGCACCCCCGGACCTGTCATGGGGGAGGTGAGGCTGGGCAGCGCTGACTTGTGGATGGGGTTTCTCCCAAACCCTAAGGGATGGGTTTCAGCAGGAAGAGAACCTCGGTGGTCTCTGGGTGAATGCTGCAGAGAAACTGCCTAGAGTGAACCTGAGTCATTTAGCTCCCAGCAACCCCTTGGGAAAAAGGAATGGAACTGGAAAGAGAGCTCAGCAAGGTCTGACAGAAGACAGTTCCTGCTGATCATCCTGTGTATCACACAGAAGGGCTTTTAGAGAAATCGCTGGAGAACTCATTTTGAGTACATAGTCCAAGGCTTCTAATCTTCAGTGTCTGGGAGTCCCTTCAAGTTGTAGGCCAAGTTAGATGTCTGTGCACACTTTAATGGAGGAGGAACCTTTGCTTTAATCAGATTTTCAAACAATTAAGAGCTTTGGTGTAGATATGTAAATAGAACGCTGAATTTTTCTAAGAAAAGATATCTTTCTATTACTGACTTCTGGTTCTCAGAGTCACACTCTGGCGACTCTGGGTATCATCACCTGGGAACTCGAGAGAAATGCAAATTATCTGCCCCACCACCAGACCTACAGTATCAGCTGCTCAGCGGGTGGGGTCCAGCCTTCAGCTGCTCACAGCCCTCCAGGTGACTCAGCGGCACTGCTCTAGAGCCAAGAGCACCATCTAGTGGTCACTTGGGTGCACCTCAGGCAGAGCGTCTAGGACCTGTACCAATCCGCCTCGGGCCTCCCCCAGGAAGGTCCTGCTGGGATCAGGGAGAGAAGCAACCTGTCTCCAGCAAAATATGCCAAACCTCTATTCCTTCTGCCCAGCCCCCCGCTGACCTTTGGACGGGCTCCCTCTGCAGTCTGGTTCATCGAGCAAAGATGGGATGAGCGAACAGGCTCATGACGCATCTTTGAGTCATCCCCACGCAAAGATAAAAGAGCGGGGGCGGCTGACTGTGGAAAGTCGCAGTTGTGCAGCTCAGCAGCATGGAGAAATCGGAACAGGCCTTCCTGCTGCTTTAAACCCAGGCATTTTTCAGAACACACAATAGAACTGCGCTGATTTTCCTTTTGGTGTACATGTGTCACATAGGTATTAAACTGTGAGGGAATGCATATGTCTCCTCAAAAACCTATCTGTTTTGCAAATACATAAACAGAAAACAGATGAATAAGTAAGTTCATTTAGGCATAAGGCCCCAAGTGACAGAGAGTCGTTGTTGCTCCTCTCCCGAGGCCAGGAGGTGTGGGCCACTCCCAACTGTCACTCAGCAGGCTTCGCTCCCCTCCAGGACTTGCCCACGACTCCCCCAGGAGACCACCTTCAGGCCTCTAACCAGGGCCTGGGCCACACAAGGAAAAGCAGACCTCGTTTCAAAGCTCCTCCCTTGTCCAGCACCCTGGGGACTGAGGTCCTCAGGTGCCGATGTCCCTCCTGCGGCCGCCCACCCGTACCTGAACGTCCGGCAGATGGCTGGTGACCAGGAGCGGCCGGATGAGGAGCCAGAGCTGGAGCGGCTGCGGGAACAGAGCTGCCGACTGGCCTTGCTTGGCGGGCTCTGGTAGGGGCAGTGGTCAGAGCGAGAGGGGCTGACCCCCGAGTCCTCATCATTGTCCTCCTCCTCCTCCTCCTCCAGGAGGAAGCTGCTCTCGCCACTGCTGCTGCTGCTGTCCTCAAAGACAGTGTCATATTCGGGGCTCTTGCAGGAGGCCAGGTCTTCATCCTCCAGGGCTGTCTCAAGGAGCCCAAAGTGCTTGGTGAGGCTGGCGCGGATCTCATGGTCTCTCAGCAGCAGACCGTCCTTGAGGGGTACACGTGCCCCACAGCTGCTGTTTTCCTCCCTGCCCGAGGCCTGTGCCTCGGCCTGCGGGGCACCTTGCGACCAGTCCTCAAGGTGGACCCCAGCTGGCTCCCAGGACCTCAGCACCTTCCTCTGCAGGGCACCCTCTGGCTTGAGCACCTGGCAGTAGTCGTGGTCTCCAAAGGAACATGAGAAGGGGCGCTTCTGGCCAGCCTGGGAGGCTGGCTGAGCTGCGGCATGACGCAGGTGGGACAGGAGCTCACTCCGCTCTGGGGTCTTCTTTGGCAGCTTGTGGGCCACCCCTGTGGCATCCCCAAGCTGGAGGCTCTTTGGGGTGGGGAGGCTGGGGGCTATGTCTTTGCCCGGGCTGTGCTTGATGTCGGGCTTGAAGGGGTCCTCCTCTGTGGGCTTGTATGGAGGCGTGGTGGGTGGGGTGAGTCCTACCCGCGCAAGAGGAGAAATGTATGAGGTGGAGGCAGACCCCTTCTTTGCAAGACACTGAAACTCTAGTTTGGGAGGGCAAAGGTCGACCCCACTCTCCAAACTCAATGAGCAGCAGGTGTCGCTAGTTACTGCAGTGCTGGCTGAGCCTGGGACTGCAGAGTCCGCCATCCATCTTTTTGGAGATGATATGTGATGGAAGCCATTTGCCATCCCTTCTGTAGCCTGGCGACGATAGCTGAAGCCTCCAGGATCACTTCCTGCACCACAACCAGGCATTCGACAAGACCTGCTCACCCTCCTCCCAACTGCCTCCAATCTGGGTGTGATCACCAGTGTCCTTAGTGTCCCTGCATCTGTCCTTGGCCTCCACCCTCCCCTGTGCACCAGAGGGAACTGGGTATGAAGCCACAGAGCGCTTCCTCTCTGGGGCCCCCAAAGTCTACAGGATCGAGGCCAACCCCCTTTACCTGGCATTCCCTGGGTGCTCTTTCCTGACCGCCCCCCCCACCCCATCTGGCCACGTCACAAGCACCAGGTGCCCAGTCTCCTCAAGGGCACCTGCCCTTTCTCATTCCTCCATGTTTTTGCTCATTCTGCTGCCAGGGAGACCCTTCCCCTTCTCTGTCTCTCCAACTCCTATTCATCCTGCTCGAATGTCCTCTGCTCTGGGTGCCCTGCAAATCCTCCCAGGCCCCACTCCTGCCTCCCTGGCCCCTGAACTCTGTATTTCCAGAGCTCTAGTGCATACTTCGGAACTAGTGAGAACAACACAGCAGTCATCACGGGGTGAGTCTGCCCCCTACGTGAGAGTGCAGACTCCTTTGGGGAAGATGTGTGTGGTTCTGTCTTTTCTGACCCGGTGTCAGCTCATAGGCCAGTTGGCAGCTGAATGGCTGAGCCGGCCCCTGACTCTCCTCCTTGTAACACCCTTGGTACCTATTTCAAGACTCAGCACAGCCTGTGCCGCAGTGCACGGATAGCTCAACGCGGCACCCATCACTGCCCAAGGGGCTGCCTGCTGTGGCGGACTTGCTGCTGGGTGTCGTGCCAGCTCCCCTAAAGGCACCCCACAGCTGAGCCCCTGGCTCACCTGCCGTGCCACAGAGTTCCACCGTCAAGGTCTGCTCAAAGCTCTTCTTGCCAAAAGGAGGGTCACTGGTGGGAGCGGGGAGGACAGAAAGGAAAGAGGCCAGTCAGCAGCAGGCCCTACCTGCCCAAGCATGCAAGGAGGGCAAGGGGACACTGTGACAGACCCTGGTTCTGCTGCCCATGGAAGTGAGGCCTGGAGAGAATTTGCTAGGGACCCCTCCCATCTTGGCTTTTAGAGGAGCTCAAATCTGCAAGAGAGATTTGCTGGAGAATGGAGAGAGGACAAGGATGGCCAGCCTCCTTATTTTACAGATTGAGCACCTGAGGAACAGAGAGGGAGATAGATTTGCCCAAGGCTACACAGCATTTCCAGCTTTTCCCTGTTGAGAAAAGAACTCCTTGCCTGATCCTGAAGGGGGACGGCTTACAGAATGGCTGAGGCCTCGATGCCCCATCCTTGGCCCAGAGATGAGCTTCTGATAACAACTCCCTTCTAAGGGAGTCCAGCTCTGAGGACCCCCCCAGGCAAAGAGGACACAGGTGTGGAGACAGGGCCAGGCTCAGGGCTGATGAACCACCCAGGCCCCCAACAGCACAAAGGCTCATAGAATAATAAGCCAATCACTTCCAAAATCTACCTTTGTGACAAGGTCAGCATGAGGCACCTGGGAGAGTCTGAAAAGAAGAAAAAGAGAAAAAAGTTAAGATTCCTCAACATGGCACCATAAGCAAACATTTCCCTCAGGAGGAGACCCCAACTTCCACTGGTACCAACCACAGCTCCCTTTAGGCATGTGACCCAATAGCCTCTGCCATTTTTAGGGAAGGGCAGGAACAACCCGAAGCCATCTGCATTCCCAGGCTCTCGGCAACATGAACTGGGGAAGATCTCCATTGTGCAGAAAGAGCAGATAGGTACAAGGGCGACCCCTCCTGGCCACACAGTGTAGTACAGCGGGGAGAATCTGGCGGAAGGCCAGTGGCGGTGGGTTCTACCACGTCAGAGGCAGGACTAACTAGCTGAGGGCTCACTAGATATCTCTGTGTCTTAAAACAGAGATTCTAACAGAACCTACCACACCCACTTCCCGTGAGGAGTTGGCGGGGACAATCAGTGTTAGACCAGCACCTGGCACAGTCAGTGCATGAGAGATAACTGTCACTATTACCATGACTACTGTTAACTTAAAATTCACCTTCATCGTGGAGCTGAGTTTACAGACACACTTCCTGTCACACCGTCACCCACAAAGTCTTCTTTGGGGCGCTTATCACAATATGCAATTATCTTCCTTTTTTGCTTACTTTTTGATCACCTGTGCTCCCCACCAAATCATAAGCCCCATCAAGGCAGACACCTCACTCCTTGTTCATTAAGTGGGACCTGGCCCATGCATGATGGGAAACTCAGAGATGTGTGGGTAATTCCCGAAGGTCCGCCCAACCAGCCCACTGCACAGAGAGGAAAGTTGCCCGCCCGGTGTGGGAGTCCCGCCTCTCAGCACGAGGAGGTTCACCACGTCCCACCCCGCCCCCTCTCCCGAAGACGACCTCCGACTACCTCTGGCAGGGGGCCGCAGGCAGCTGGGGTCCTCGTCTGTGTCCCCACACCCACCCTCACAGGGGCTCTCCAGAGCCGGGACCTGGGGTCCCTGGAGCTGCTGCCGGTCCTGGCTACCATCCTCGCTCCTGGGGCCGCCCAGCTCCCGCCCTGTGTCGTAGGCGTCCGGAGCCAGATGCGGTGAGGACAGAGCTCCCTGGGGCTCTGAGGGGACCAGGGACTCATCGGTGAAGGTCAGCCAGGGGCCCAGCTCAGGGTTCAGTCTCCTGGAACGCCGCACAGGGCACACGGAGCTCTCCAGCTTCTTTCCCAGCTTGGTCCACGGCAAACCTCGGCCCGGCCTTTTCCAGCCCCACTCGTCTTCCTCCTCCTCTTCCTTTTCTTCCTCCTCCTCCTCCTCTTGCTTCTGCCTGGCCAACCGGCTGACATGACCTTTCACCCCCAGCCGCAGAGGGCGCAGGCTGGGACCAGGCCCGGTGCTCCGGGGTGAAGCCGAGATCCTCACCTCCTCCGCGGGGGACAGGAGACCAGGGGAGGCCTGGCTGTCCTTGGGCCTGTGCTGGGGCCTGAGGGAGGCGTAGACAGGCGTGGCCAGGCGGTAGGGTTTGCTGACATCACAGAGGACATCTTGAGCCAGAAGTTCCCTCAGAATGGAAAACTCAGCCCAGGCAGCTCTGGCAGGGTGCTGAGACCGGGCCCAGGGTTGGACCTGCTTGGAGGGGTGGCTGCAGGGCTGAGGGGCAGGCTCTGGGGCCTGTGGGAGCCGCTTCCTCTGGGGGAGGCAGTAGGTGTGCATGTAGTGAATAAGCTGCACCATCGCCTGCATGTCCTCCGGGGAAACCTGGGCACTGGGGCCTGCCCTGCCGGGTGCTGGGGAGTCCTGGGGAGAGGATGGAGCTGGCTGGGGGCTTGAGCAGTCCTTTACTGGCTCCTCATTGTCCTTGGCAGGGAGCCGAGGACTCAGGGGGGCTGTCGACTGCAGGCCCCTCTCTGGGGAGCGGGCTTTAGCCTGGAGGCAGGATGGCACCGAGGTGAGGTGCTTGTGCAGTTCTGTACAGCTCCGGCTCTGAGACTGCATCACGGGGGCCTTCTTCTCCTGGATGCTGTCCATCTGCGGAGGGAAGGAGGCCAGAGTGAGGTGGGAGGCCCCCACTGCTCCTTCCCTCTGCACCACCCCCGCAGCTGCCCACTGGGCTCAGCAAGGGTCTAAAAAATTGCCAGGGTTTATCCATTTTCCCCCAGCTTCCAGCACAAAGCCTGGCACCTGACTGTGCTCAGCGATGGGGAACAAAGGAACGATCGGCCTCCTTACACGGACTGTGCCCCTTCCAGGTTCACAGCAAAGCCCTGCTCTGACTGGACCCCACGCCCACACTCCAGCCTTCAGTGAGAGCGCCAGGAAGTCCATTAGTGGTTGCTGGGGGCAGGCACGGGAACATGGATTAACGGTAAATGGGGGCGCCGGGGGTCTCCCCGGGACGGGGGAAATGCTCTAAAGCCGGACTGTGGTCGTGGCTGCACGACTGTAAACTTACTAAAAATCACTGGATCGTACTTCTAAAACAGGTGCCTTGTATAGGTAAGTGGCACCTCCATAAAGCTGTTAAAAAATAAAAAGAAGAAAAATTCAACAGCTTCCCAGTGCCCATCAGATAAAGGGAAGGCCCCTCGGCCAGGTATTCGGGGCCCTCGGCAGTCGGGCCCCAGACCACGGCTCTCACCAGCCTTCTCCGCTCCCGATTCCCTGCAGTGCACCTGCCACTTCACTGGGGCCAGAAGGGCTGTCGGGTGTGTCTCACATCCCTGGGGCACTTCCTAGCCTCCCCGAGAGCAAAGAGCCGGCTCACCAAGGAGCTTAGCGGCTCAGTCTCCACAACCGTGAGATGCAGTGTTTCGGGCTATCTCCCCATTAGAGGAAGCCCCCCCCCGCCCACCGAAGACAGGCCATATCCTCCTTGTCCCTGCTCTAATTCAGTGTCTAACACAGTGCCTAGAACACGGGTGTGTACAACAGTGTCCGAGGCTCTTTCTAGAACCCCAGACTGCCTGGGTCTCGAGAAGCACCCAGCACACAGTACCAGGACTGTGTGAGGAGCACGGAGGGAAACTCAAAGCTGACTGAACTTGAAACCCCTAACAAGAACTCAAGGTTGCACATCCCCAGGGGCCACCTGGGGCCTGGGGGTGGGGGGTGGAGGATGTTTTAGGGCAAGCACAAAAATACCTTGACACAAGGCCGCTGACTTTTGGACCTGAGGCCAGCCCGGCGCCAGGGTGTCCCTTCCTTCTGGGTTTCAGAGCTTGATGCTGGGTAGGAAGTGGCGAGCAGGAGCTTCTGCAGCTGCAGCGAAGCAGAGAGGGGGCGCTGAGCCGCGGCCAGGACACGGGGAAGGGGCGAGGCCTGAACCCCAGGCGGCCCCTCGGGACTGACCATGCCCTGACCTGGCTCATCCCAGGACCACGGGGACGGCATGGACGACACTCAGTGACCTGGAATGCATTCCTGATATACAGTGTGGGGCAAAAGTAGGTTTAAAGTTGTTCATGTGGAAAAATAATACACTAATTAATAATAACACAAGAATACACTGTTTCATGTACTTACAGCTGTAAACCTACTTTTGCCCCACCCTGTATGACATGAATACTAATAAGTGGGCAATATAAGCAAGTGTCCCTCCCACCAAGGTCCACTTTCTCCCTCCCAGAGGCAACTACTGTGAACCATTTTCCTGTGCCCCTATCAGGAGGTAGGATGCAGTCACACAAGGGTACGCAGGGCGGGCAAAAGGAGGTTCACAGTGGTGATGGCAGCCCGAGCTAATCAAGCTACTGTACTGATCGTCGGCGCAGGTCTTTTCCCATTCAAACAAGTATAACCCTACACTCTCGTCCACCTGTGCACAGTGCTCACCATTGGTACGCATTACTTTGGAAATAAACTATTTTCTGAAAAAGCAACATAAATAAACAAAGAACAAAAGGGAAATCAGCTGGAATCCCTCAGCAAAGAATCCCTGTGGTGCCCGACTGTCCTCCGTGTGTGTGTGCATGCCTTGGTGCCCGACTGTCCTCCGTGTGTGTGTGCATGCGTTGGTGTTGGTGCCTGACTGTCCTCCGTGTGTGAGTGTGTGCATGCGTGCACACTATAGGTGGAGGCAGCTGTCCCAGTGAAGCATCCGCATGCTTCACACAGGATGGGCAGACATTACCCAGATCCTGTGGGAGTTCTCAACGTCACAGACGTTCTTCTTAGGTAACTGGTTTTGAAAAGGATTTACAGTTTGTTGGGATGTCCATGGGCATTTGGGTTGTTAGGCATTTGGCTGTCTGTGCTCAGTACATCATGTACAGGGCACCTCCGGCCACCCAGCTGTTCCTACACAAGTAGAAGCACGCGACACTTGAGCTTGTCTGGCTTTTCTAGTTTTTTAACATTGCCAGACACACTTCCACACCCAGAGTGCAGATGCTCGACATTTCCCCGCCGAGAAAGTGGGGGGCTGAGTGCCGCTGGCGTCCTACCTGGGGTCCTTTCACAGCTGAGGTTGCGAACAGATCAGGAGGTATGACAGGTTTTTGCCAAAGCACAGAGGGATTTCTTGAGGGTCATGCCCCACAGGTCACCCCAGCAAGGAGTGCCAAAGGCCCAGGAAGCAGAGAAAAATTCCACACTCCCCTAGGAGCCGGAGGGTTCCCACCACCGCTCCTGGACCCCAGACCAACACAGACACATCTGTGGTTCTCTGACACAGACAGAGAAAGTCCTATAGGCTAGAGAGACCTGGTCTGACCCGGCTCAGCCCCCCTTTACCACGAGACCTGGGGCAAGTCCTTTCCCCCTCTAGGCGTTGGTTTCTCCATTGCTACAGCAGGGGCAGGCAGATTAAATGACTAGAGCTGAATCTTTTTTGACTCAGGAGTCCCTCTAAGAATACGCGAGAAGCTACTGGGCTCAGAAAAACGCACCGGTTATGTCAGAGGCCCATGGGTCCCTGTCCGTCCGATGGTGGACTCTCTGTGATCATGACTGCAGGTTAAGAGCTGAGAAGCTGCTTTGTGCAGAGACCTTCCAAACTCCGTCAGTGTGCTGGGAGGCCGGAGGGTACGTTTCCTGTGTGCCTAGCACACTGCCTGAAACAGGTGCTCAAAAACGGGTGGAAAGAGGGCAACCTAAGGCACCGCAGGGGACAGACTGTGACCAGCCAGGGCTGCTCTCTGTCTCTCAGAGGTCTGGTCCCGTTCCAGAGCCCCACAGAGAAATGGCAGAGAATTCCTTTCATTGCTGCTACTACCGGTCCAGCCTGGATTATTCCCTGGAGAGCATTTATTGAGCAAATACTATGTACCAGGCACTGCACTAGGTACTTTACATGTATTACCTACTGCATTCCTCCTAAGGGCCTTTGAGGTATGCACTGTTTTTGACCCCACCTTATAGACCAGGACACTGAGTCAGAGAAGTTAGGGACACACAAGCACTAATTGGTGGGGTGGGGAATGGAACCCAGGGGTCTGATTTGCAGCCTGAGAGGAAGCAGGACTCCTACTTATCAGCAAATCCACAATGTGGGGTTGAACACACTTGTGTGTCCAGCACATACGAGGTGCTTACCAAATGGTTTGCACCTTTGGAAAACAAAGGAAGCAGGAAAGAAGGAAGGGGTCCTGGACCAGGAGGCAGCATATCTGGGTTCTAGTGCTCCCTGGCGCACCAACGTGCTGTGTGACCACGGAGGAGGCCCTCCCCACTCTGGGTCTCCACGTTCTTCCCCATCGCTGGGCTTGATGGTCGCCAAGAACCTTTTCAGCTCAGAACTGTCCGTGACCCAAGACCCCTCCCCAGCTCCCACAGGCTCTGATTTTCTGAGTCTCACGGGCACTGGCAACCTTAGCACCAAGGTGAGGAGCCCAAGACAGGTGAGCACAGCTGGACTTTACACCCCGTGACATCTCAGCTTTTGTATCCTCAGTCTGACTCAAGGGCAACTGTTGACTCCTTAAAGAATCTGATAAATGCTGAGACCCTCTCCTCGGAAAGCGGCGATTTCGTGTGCGGGTTCCCACGTGCCACGTATACTCACACGGAGAGCATTTAACCTCTGCTGATGCAAGGACAAACCAGGCCGACCCCTCTGGAGGGCACTGGGGAAGTATCTGTCTCCACTGGAAAAATCGTGTATCTGTCCACCTAAGAATTCCATTCCCGGGAAACTTATCCACTTACATGTGCAAAGGCCACCGCACCAAGACGCTGACTACAGCGCCGTAGCAACAAAGGAGTTGAAACCACATAAACATCCATCAACAAGGGGACTGGTTAAACAAGCTATGGTACATCCTTACAAAGGGACACTGTGCAGCCAAGAAAAAAGATGAAATGGAGCTACCTGGGCTCATCTGAAATTATTTCCAAAACAGCAACAGTTCACTGAGAAAAGCAAGGTGCAGAGCAGTGTATAACGCAGGCTCCCTTTTTGGAGTATTTAAAAAAAGGTGGAAAAGGAAAGTCAGATAGCAGATCAGTAACCATGGTAACCTCTGGGGAAGGAAAAAGCAATTGTGAGATGGGTAGGAAAGTTTCGCTTTTAACCGTCCACATTTTCTGCTTGAATTCTTGCTGTGTGTTTATGTATCATATTTAGGAAAATGTTTGCATGCGATTTCAAGGTTTTGCCACACAATTAAGGTCAATCCATGAAATCCCCAAGGGCCTACAGAATGCTCTTGGAGACTGGGTAGCTAGTCCAGCTGCACAGGTGGCAAAGGTGAGGCCCAGGGAGGCCCCGTCCGGGGCTGTCTGCTGTGAATCCCATTGCCACTGATGCATGGAGACCTCTGCAGGGGCTGGAACTGGTTTCCCTACACCCACCAGCTCTTCCGCCAGGCACCACATCCCAGGCCTCCACCACTGCTTCACTCGGAAATAGGTTCTCACCAGTGAGAGCTCGTCCCCCTCAGGGGCAGGAGCCAGAGGGCTCTCCAGGGAGGGGCTGGGGGGCGCAGAGGAGGGGACAGGTGAAACTGAAGTGCAAGATGGTGCTTCTCCACCGTCCAGGGCTGGGAAGGCAGCCAGACCCACATCATCTTCAGGGATGTCATCCAGGGTCTTGGAGAGCGCTGCCAGGAGAGCCTCATTCTCACTGTCGATGATCTGGAGCAGGGAACACAGCGGAACAGAGAGGAATTGCGGTGAGTCGGTGCCTCGGGCCCAGCCACCTTCTCGGTGGAAACCTGCTGTGTGCACGCAGCTGCACCATCGCTGCCCTCCCGCCAGCCCCTCTAGGGTGCTCCCCCATCGGATTCTCTCAGCAGTGCCGTAGTAGAAGATACCCAGGCAATGTGTTACTGAGGCCACGAACCTCAGAAGTCGACGAGCAGGCAGCAGGTGACACTGAAAACGACCTTGCCGTGGGGTCCCAATCTCCTGTTCATCAGTATGGGAGACACCTGCCCGCTCCACCCGACAGCAGCTCCACACCTCAGTCCCCTGCACCAACCCCTAGGACACAGCCCCAAGGCTAGTTTATGCCCCTGGTAGCAGCGTCCCTTTGTGGGTCCCAGACCCTGACCCTCAGGCCCAGGCAGGCAGTGGGAAGGCTGGAAGCTTCAGGGTTCCACCATGACCATGACGACCATGGCTATCATGTCCCGGCGGGTTTCCAGGGCTTGCTCGCCTTATTCACGCACGAAGAGGAAGTTAGATTGGTGGTCAAGAGTTTGGGCTCGGGAGCTGGGGTGGAATCCCAAAAGCAATACTTTTCAACTATGGGTCCTTAGGCAAGTTACTTAGTTTCTTCACCTGCTGAATGGGACAACAATGCCACCCACTTCATAAGGTTATTGTTGAGGACCGAATAAGCTAACCTATATAAGGCTCTTAGCAAACAGTGCCTGACAATGGAAAGTACTCATTACCATTACTGGTACTTCTACTACTACTGCTACCACTACTGTGATAATTACTGTGATGATGGAGGAGATGATGATGAGGTCGATGACGATGTGGTGGTGACCACGATGCTGCTGACGATGGTGATGGTGATGATGATAATGATGATGAAGGTGATGGTAATGACGATGGAACGGGTGGTGGTGGTGGTGACAATCCCTCGCCCGCTTCTTCCCTCCCTCCCCCTCCCTAACATACATGTACCGAATGGCCACCCTGGGCCCGGTGTTTCCGGGGCCCTGGTAATACAACACACCAAAGCTGGCACCGCCTGTGCCCTCATAAAGCTTACACTCCAGTGGAGAAAAGAGTGAAACGAGGAAACAAGATCATTTCAGGGAGTGACAAAGGCTGGGAAGAGAACAAGAGGAAGCTGTGACGAAGACTGAGAACACAGTGAGGCGTACGGACTCCTCTGAGGGTCAGAGAAAGCTGCCCCACACAGCTGAAGCTTAAACTCTGGCTGAAAGATGAGGACGCAGTGGTCAGGCAAAGGGCGGAGGAAAGAAGTTTCCAGGCACAGGGGAAAGGGAGTCCAAAGGCCCGGGACAAAGAGCTCGGCTGAGAAGACGGACAGGAAGGCTTTGTAAATACTGCCTCGTAACAACTTCTAAGGGGGGCACTATTCTAACCTCTGTCTTACAGCTGAGGAAACTGAGGCTCATAGAGGTTGAGTGAGGTGTCCAGGGTCACACAGCAAATCCAGGGCAGAGGCAGGGCTTACACTGAGCACAGATGACCCGAGGCCCTTTCTTCTCTGACGTCTGGGAACTGCAACAAGGAGGGTCAGCCAGCACACCCCCAGCCCAGCCAGGCACCGCGCCCAGCCCCCACGCCAGAGGCCTGCAGTGTGGAGACCTCACTGCTTGCAGGCAGGGCAGTGAGAGCCTCAGCAGTCACCCCAGGCTGCCGGACAGGCCCTGGGGAGAGCGCATTCTGTCACATGACACCTCCCCCCGCACTCTTCCCTGTCCCAGGTCAGACTGTGTATCCTTCCTTCAGGAAGTTCATCTGAAATACGCATCTCGTGACGGCATTTTGGCCGCACTGAATCTGTTCCAGGCCTTGCAGCCGGAGCAGTCGCTGAGTAATTCAAAGGGGGGACACGGAGAAAAGAGAACAAATGGGTTTGTAATTTTTGGAACACAGCTAAGAACAAAAGAAAGGTCAAAAGAAGGTTTTGGTTGGGTCTGACCCAGGGTGGGGAGGGGCAGCCAAGGGTAGATCTGGGCCATGGGCTCTGGCTCAAGAATGCAGGGGAGCTCACTTAAACGACCCCCACTGCCATGCAAAGACCAGAGTCCCCTGTGTTCCCAGAGCAATCTGTCTAGCCTGACTGCACATTAAGGTCTTAAAAGCTGGCACTCAATGACCACTCTTGGGGCTGGCTACATGGGGCTCTGCCACCATAGGGTGATACTGGACAAGTGTTTTCCTTCTCAGCCTCGTTGCTTTGGCTGTAAAATGGGAGTCCATGAGCCCCAGCTGGTGTGGCTCAGTGGGTTGAGTGCCAGCATGTGAACCAAAGGGTCACTGGTTCGATTCCAAGTCAGGACACCTGCCTGGGTTTCGGGCCAGGTCCCCAGTAGGGGATGTGTGAGAGGTAACCACACACTAATGTTTCTTTTCCTCTCTTTCTCCCTCCCTTCCCCTCTTTCTAAAAATAAATAAATAAAATCTTTTAAAAAACCAGGGAGCCCATGAGCCCTGGCCAGCCTCCCTCCCAGGTCTACTAGGAAGGCGAGGCTGGCAGCAACGGCAGAAGTGCCCCACGCCTGCCCACGGCGGGAGCGTGGGAGGCACTCAGGCAGGAGTTTCTGAATGGAAGAATGAATGACCCGAGGAAGGAATTCTGGCTTCGAGGAGAGACCGAGATTAGGGTTTCAAAGAATAGATTCTTAGAGGGACATTATTCAGAAATGATGTCACCCAGCATTGGATGGAATGAGAGTTCCTCTTTCACAGAGGTAGCTTATGGCCAAGAGCAGCCCATCACAACTATCGGCCGGATCCCTCAGGGATCACAGAGTGACCCGGGATGTTAGACATGTGACCTGAGTGCTACCACTCCCCTTACTGCTAACCAGATGTGGCTCTTCCTTCCACGCCAGCATCTTTCTTAACACAGCCCTCCCAGCCACCACTGCCAGTCCAGCACAGGTGGCACTCACCAGGACACTGATCTGTCATTTTTTTTTAGGTGGGCAGAATGAAGGTCCAGGGAGGAGACTCATCAAGGTCACACGAGACAGCGAGAGGAGGGGTCACGGACTTCCTGTGTGCCAGGCACTGTACAAAAGTGAACTCAAACTGGCAGAGGCCTCAAGACGCCCCCCCCAGGGGCTGGTGTAAACAAAATGACTAGCAAGAGGCCTCTGCCGTCTTCTCAGCCCTCCGAGAGCTGCCCCAGCTGCGGCTGGAGGCTCTGACCCAGCCTCGGAAGCAGGGCCACTCCTGCCCACAGCACCGTCCCACCAGCACCCTGGGGTAACATGTTCCAGGGAGCTGGGCCACCCTTCTCCTCTTCCTGGGCCCATTAGCTCAACTCTCCCAGCTTTGCTTGGAAACGGAGTGTAAATTAATGGAGAGTTAATCAGCTGAGGAAGGGATATTAATAGACTCAGCCCCACCCCCAACCTTCCTGAACTGATCTCGAGCTACAGGAAAAGAAGTCTATGAAATCTCAGGGAAAACACTTCATTTTGGGCCCAGGGTGGCTTGAAGGAATGTCACAGAACAGAATTTAGGCTATTAGGGACAGAAGAACACTCAGAAATCCTCTGCTGTCCAGGGGGCTTAACTGGGGTTCAGGATACCCAGGAAATCAGCCCCCCACCTTCTTTACTGGGATTTGGTCCACAGATTTCACCCGAGGGTAAGAGGGCCCCATGACTCCCCTAACAGATTAAGAGCCACGGACTGAGTCTGTCTTCCTTCCTCATTCCTCATGTTGGGGACACTGAGGCCCAACCAAAGGAAGCCACCTGCCCAAGGCCACAAAGCACGTTGTGACAGAAGGACCAAATGCCTGCCCCTCCAAAAGTGCTCACAAAGCACCTGTCGTGCTCCTGACCCTGGGGCTCTGGGCACCCCAAGAGCTGGACGGCACTGTCCCCGCCCCCGAGGGGCTCTCAAACCTGTTGCAGTGACTTGCTCTCCACTCCCCCAGTCCGTGTCCGTAGCAATGGTGTCCTTCGACTTAGAACACAGCTCAGACAGAAGGCAGTGTGGCTCTATGAGTCCCGCTGGTCAAATGAGGAAACCGTCCCAGCTCGTGGCAGAGGGAGGACAGAGCCCACAGTCCCTGAGTCCTGGCTCAAGGTTGTGGGATGGGTCATGTCTGGTACTTGGCAGGAAAGAAACTATTACAATTGGTGCCTTCATTCAACACATATGACTGAGTCCCAACAATGGCTGAGAGCCCCAGTGAATAAAGTGCCATTTGTCTTCAAGGAGCTCAAAGTCTAAAGGACACACAGAGACGCATGCATGGGTGTGCTCACACAGACACACGCAAGACAGGAACCCAGGGGAGGAAGCAACCAACAGACTGCCCGCCTCAGAAGGGGCTGGCGGGAGAGCTGGGCGTTGAAGGATGCAGGCGTTCAATACATGTGTGTGAAGCCCCGAGAAGCGCCAGGCTCTGCGCGGAGCCTGGGACAATAACAGTGCACAGTACCAGCCCCCACGCTCGGGGGCTGACAACGTGGCAGGGGAGGAACCAGGCACTGGTCATACGACCACAGGCACAGTGAGTACAATGGGTGGAGCTGGCCTCGTCTTGAGAGAGCAGGTGGCCCAGAACGGGAGAGGGGCGGGGTGGGCGGAGTCCTGCACAGCCCTCCCGTCTGGAGGACTCTGCCTCCCTCGCTGGCCTGGGAGCCCGGGGCCACGGCAGGCTGACTTGTGTGGGAGACCATGTCGGCATGCACATACTAGGACCTTGGCAGGACAACGTCAGTGGGACTAGCCAGTCTCTGAATATTTCAGGGCCTATATAGTTTAGGGGGGGTGGCCTTCAGGCAGCATCTAAACCCCTCTCGCGCATCAAGCTCCACAACTTAAAAGCATTCTCTGGAGGTCGGGCCCCTTTGTGGGTGGGAGCAGCAGAGCACAGGTCCTGTTCCTGATGTTCACATAAAGAATGAAGGTCACCAGATGGCCCCAGACCTAGAGCCCAGCCCCGCTGGTCCTCACCGGGGCGGTGGAGAGGTTGAGTATGCAGCTGCGGGGGGTGTGGGTCCCAGGATTAGTTGTTACCCTGGCCCTTCCTAGCTGTGGGGCCTTGGGAAAGTTACTTAACCTCACTGAGCTTCACTTCCCTCACTTGTAAAATGGGCCCTTTACTTATAGATTAGAACAGCCTCGGGGGGGGAAAAAATCAAACTCCTTACCATAGCCCACAAGACCCTGCTCGATCTGGCCCCTGCCTACGTCTCTGGCTTTACCTCCTGGCATTTTCCTCTTAGCTTCTACCCCCTGCGCTTCTGTTCTCCAACACGGCCCGCGCTCCTGCTTCCGGGCTCTGCACTTGCCGCTTCCCCCGCCTGGACCGCTCTGTCCCTGCTCTTTGGTTTTCACGAGGCTCCTTCTCACCCTTCAGCTGCAGCACCTCCTCCCCAAAGAGCTCTTCCCTGACCGCCCCATCGTTAGAGCCCCTTCTCAGCCCAGGTTTGCTTATTTCCTTCTGTGCCCCCATCACAGTGACCGCAGTCTGCTTATGTGTTAGCTGATTGAGGGTCGGTCTCCCTCGAACTGTCCCACCCACTGATGAACACAGTGCCAGAAGCACAGCAAACTCCATAAACATTCCTAAAAGCAACGATATAAACCTCGAGAGTATCTGAGATGAGGCTCGTGGCACACCGGCATGGCATCGGACACAGTGTGTTGCTGTTACTGTATTTCCAGACAAGTGCAGGGAGCTAGGTCTTCTTCCCCCGATCTTTGTGGGGGAGCACATTTCAAGGTAAGAATAATGAATTCAAATGCACCCATCACCCAGCTTCGACAGCATGGCCAATCTTCTTTCATTTATTACCCTGCAGGCCATCAATACACCCACCCACACGAATGCACACAGAACTTGGTTTGTTCTGAAGCAAACCTCAGACATCACATTATTCCGTGTTAGAGGGCTTCTTAAAGGAGGCATTGCCCACTATGTGCCTTAAGGCCGGGTGCAGGAGCACGCAGGATCAGAGGCATTTGTATTGGTCCTCAGCACTACCTCTTTTAAAAACCTTCTAACTGCACTTATGTCTGAGCAATGTTAAGAGAATTAACTGCATTAATATCCACAGTCAGGGACAGTACTGCCACAGAGCAGTGGCTCAGTAAATGGGAAGCATTCTCATTATGGCGTCATCATGGCCATAAAGCCTTGGCTTGGAGGAGGCAGGCAGACTGGATTTGAATCTGATTCAAACAGATAAATGCCTTGACACATGACTTCAGTTCTCCAAGCCTCAGTTTCCTCATCTGCAAAAGGGGGAGATGATGGCACCTGCCTGACAGGATAGAGATGAGAACTGAGTGAGATGCTATAGAGAAGGGAGGACTTGGAACCCTCCTGACCCACAGAGGGGCTGGCCTCTTCCCTGCCCTCACTTTCCAGAGTCCTGGCAAGGAAAGAGAGCTGCCCAAGGTCAAGTGCAGATACAGGGCTAGACACGTGGCCCCAAAAGCTGTGGTGGTCTTTGCCTGAGCAAGTGCAGAAAAAGGAAGTACAAGCCAGAGCCAGGCTTTTGGGGGCAGAGAGGGACACGGCTAGGCAGGAGACAGAGGGCAGGGCTCCAGAAGGACGTACCTGAAAGAGCTCCGAGTCATCGGGGCTGTACTGGCTGGGCTCAGTATCGGAGCCCTCGGGGCACCACTGCAGCTCCTCAAAGCAGGTGGCCGAGTCGAAGTCGCTGGTGTCCAGCTGGGAGAGGTCAAGCTCTGGAAAGTCGGCGCAGAGTTGCTCCTCCCCGGACACCCCACCCTGAGGAGACAGGAAGGAAGGCGGCCGGTCAGAACTGAGCTTGGCTGGACCCAGGTGGGGACCCTCTCACTCATGATGCTGCCAGCTTGGACATTCAGCTGCCCTTGGCCAAGGCCCAGTTTTGCCAAGTGGCCCGGAAATGTAAAGTTCTGCCCCACTCTCTTACAACTGTTGAACCTACCAGGAGCCAAGCCAGGCACCGGCAGTACGACCCTGCCCACTGCTCTCTCCCTTCTCCTCTGCTCTCCTCCACAGCAAGGCCCTGCCCATGCAGCCCTTTTCTCCTACCAGCAATGTGTTTCTGAAAACTCCTTTACAATCCGTAAACAGAGACCTACTCCTTTGCCTACCCGCCGCCAGTGGAAAGGAGATTTCTCGGAGGCAACAGTCCCTCAGTATGAATAATAAACAAGAAAACAGCAAAAACAATAACGACCAACATTATCAAGTGGTTACTGTGTTGTGGAGGCGCACCCATGGTCCCTGGGGTCTTACGGGAATATTTGTGAAGTCTACAATGTGGAAGGCAACCCATCACTAAACCGGAGGCAAGTAAAAACCAACATCACCTGTGCCATGAAATGTTACGGTGCTGTTGAAGAGAATGAGGCAGGTGTATATGCTGTTTAAGACACATTAAATAAAAAATGAAACTGCAGATTATCAGTAGGAAGAATATTACCCCACACGTGTAAAGAGAAAAGCCAGGCTACGCCTTTCTCTGTGCATCGTAACACAACTGCAACGCACACAGAAAGGTCTAGAAGGCCATCAGCCCTCTTGGCAGTGGCAGGTGCAGACTCTGGTAACATCACAGACTGACCAGGCTTCTACAGTGTGGGCCCGGGACTGGCAGGGGCAGCTACACCTGGGGCCGTGTGAGGAACAGCGCAGGTGCTCAGGCCTCTCCCGGGCCCCCTGAGTCAGAAGGCGATCGCGATCCCATCCTGATCTGTAGGTTTAACAGTTACCGGCCCAAGGGCTGCACTGACCATTCAGGGAGGCCAACTCGGAAACAGTCCCGCAGGCCCCGGCGTCTGGTGGCCCTGAGTCATAATCCCTGCTCAGCAGCTGGGAAAGCCTGGGCGAACCCCCTTGCCTCTCTGGGGCTCGGCTGCCTCATCTGTGAAACGGGAACCCCCGCCCGCCTCGTGCTGTTAAGAGGGAATAAGGGAATGGTATAGCCTCTCTTGGCCAGTGCCCAAGAAACAGCAGTTCACAGTAATGATAACAAAAACCTTTTAAAATAACAAGAACAACAGCATTTCATAGCAGGCAGAGGGGGCGGACCTGCCTTAGAGAACAAAAAAAAAAAGGCTTTATGTGACACTTGGAAGAAATAGATGTTGGCTGGGCCTTTTCCTTAATTGTTCCCACTTACTAGGCCTCATAAATTATGAATAAATGTATATTATTAGCTCAACTTGACACAGGAAAAAGGCTTTTATCCGAATTTAGGTCAAATGTCTTAACTGGCATTTTGCAAGAACCCTGCACGCACAGGGTAGCACCAGGGCCCACTTCTCCGGAGCGCTCCGTCCCCGGCTCTCAGGCCTAGAAGCCTCCGCCTCCAGGGGCCCCCCAACCGCTCGTGCCTCCACCTGCCCAGTCTTTCTCCAATCCACCCATGTGCAACAACCACGAATTCTGAGCACCGCGTCACTCTGGGCCCCGCCCATAGCCGGCCACAAGTCACTACAGCTGCCATGGTCGCCGGGACACTCAGGTGGATTCTCAGCTGCCTCTTGGAGACGTCCTTCTCTTCCTTGCCCAGGAGGACTATGGAGATGCGGCCATCTTGCACTAAATGCAGCCTGCTCTAAATGAATGACTGGTTTGCTTCCAGTTTTGGGCTATTATGAACAAGTCTGCAATATTTGTGTGAACCTTTATGTGGACATATGTCTTTATTTCTCGTGGGTAAATATCTAGACGTGGAATTGCTAGGTCCTATGGTAAGTGTCTGTGTGACTTTATAAAAACTACAACACTTTCCCAAGGCGGTTAGACGACTGCAATGCCTACTGACTGTGGGAGAGTCCCAAGTGGTCGACACCCTCAACGGCACTTGGTACTGTCACTCATTTTAATTTTAGCCCTGTTAGTGGATGCATTCCAGCATCTATCAAATGCCGTGAGCCAGGCACGGTGACACAGAAGACTCAGTTCATTCCTTTGTGAGTCGACATATTCATGGGGGAAGAAAGCACACAAATCCTTCATTACAGATCGTGTTAGCGCCAGAAGGAAATAAGCCAGGTGGGCTGACGGAGGGTCAGGAGCGGGAGGATCTCTCTCAGTGGGGAGCGGGGTCAGGAAAGGCTTCCTGGAGGAGCTGACATCTGAGTTGAGACTTGAAGGAGGAGCCAGGTGGTAGAAGACGTGGAAAGAACGTTCCAGGCAGAGGGCCCAGCAAAGGCAAAGGCCAAAGTGTGGACCAAGCCCAGGGCATGCAGAGGGTCAGCGAGGCTGCAGCTGGGTGAGCTTGGTAGGGGGGCAGGCGGGGAATGGGTGCAGATGCCTTCAGAGAGGCAGGTGGCCATCCAGTGCGTGTCCTTCCAATAAAACCATGCCACCTCCTTTACAAACACCCATAAAATGGCCTTGACCACTGCACTTATCGATTACCCAGAGCAGCTCGACACACTCAAAGAGTATTCAGGACATAAAAATAAAGAAACCTCAGCTCCGTGGCCTTGTCAATTAGGGCAGAGGCTGTTCTGGCCAAAAACCTTTAAGCGCTGCACACAGTGATTTCTCCGGCCTTCTCCAGGTTTGGAGAGGCTTTTGAAGGGGAGCCGTGGATGACCCAGTTCTCTTTGAAAGATCTGACTCCAGGCCTTCTTGTTCTGCCCAGGCCGCCTGCCATGGACCCCACCTGCGCGGAACTAGAAGGCCACGGCCCGGGGCCACAGCACTGCTCTTACTGAGCACTCACCGTATGCCAAGGACCAGGCTGAGGGCCCCGTACGCACCTTTCCATCAGATTCTTAACACGACCCTGCAGAGCAGGTGTCACTGTTCCCGTGTGGCACTCAGGAAACTCGGAGATCGAGCCCCTGTGTTAGTGCGCCGGGGCCACTGTAACAAAGCCCCACAGACTGTGCGGCTTCAACAACAGGAGTCGGTGGCCTCGCAGTGCTGGAGGCCAGAAGTCTGAGATAAAGGTGTTTCCAGGGTCGGCTCCTTCCGAGGCCTCTTGTGCTGGCCTGTGGACGGCTGTCTTCTCCCTGTCTCTTCACATATCTGTCTGCCTCCATGTCCAAATTTTCCTTTGAATAAGGACACCAGTCGTGCTGGATTAGGTCCCATTCTAACGACCTCATTTCAGCTTGGTTGCCTTGGTAGAGAACCTGCCTCTAAATACGGTCACAGTCCAGGGTTCCAGGCTCAGGACTCCGACATATCTTACTCTCTGGAAGACGCGATGGAACCCCCAGCACCCAGGATTCCAGACGACTGAAGCTGAGATTCAAATACAAGTCACTTCGCTCCCTGCAAACCTACTGTCACTGAACACCCTGGTTCTGAGTGTGAGAAGGGACATTCAAGACCATTTATTCCCATTTAGAGGTGGGGAGACAGACCTCCAAATGAGGGCTCAGAAAGACCCAAGTCACACGGCAAGTTCATGGCTGAGCAGGACAGGTCCGGGCTTAGATGTACTGCACTGTGCACCAGCCTCACTGGGACAGCCCCCAGGGCACCCTCCCCCGCACAGGCCTGCTCACACCCCTGCTTTGGGACCCCCCTTGTTGCTGGGCCTTCCCCATCCATTTCTCCAGCAACACCCCACCCCACTCTGAAAGGGGCTGTGGCTGCCCCAAGCCAGGGATATAAATGCCCCTGGCAGTGAATTAATGATACTTCATCCAGATTCACATAAGTGGCTTCATTGGAAGCCTGTGCATCTTGGTGGAAATCGATTCCCTGCTTAAGAAAGAATGCATCTTCAAGGAAAATTGGTGGCTCTGCTCTCCTGGCTGCGATTGGCAAATTGCCTTGCTCAGTGCCTGGCCCACAGCACATTTTCAGAGCTACCGAGTAGAAGGAGGCAGGAGGGGCTGCGGGTGGCTGCAGTGACACAGCGCGGCATTGGGCCTGTCCCTACTCACTGTGCATCCTCCAGTGAGTCACCTCCTCACTCGGGCTCTCACCGCTCCTTCTGGAAAAGGGGACACCAAACAGACAAGCCACATGGACCCTCTTGCTCTAGCATTTGATGTAAGTCCACACATACCTAGTTTCTGAGATCCACTGGGCCCGAGGGAAGTAGTGAGATAAAATTCAGCATTTAATGAGCAAATAATTTCCAGAGGGAGACACAAAGGTACAGAGAAAAGGACTGTCTTAAAATGGAAAGAGGCCTGGGCAAGGAGGACAAAGAGCGAGGCCCTGGCTTTGCTACTAATGCCAACGCTTGGAGGTCAGAGCATCCCTTCTGCCACCTCAGTTTTTATCAACAAAATGGGGGTGCGGGGAAGATATCCTACCTCCAAGGGTTTTGACAAAGATAAAGTAACACAGGTGGGAGCCCAGATGTGTCAGATACCCCCCACGTATGATAATCACAGATGTAGCACTTACAGTTGAAATTCACAGCCATGGTATCGCTGGTACCTTCCCAAGCTGCAGGAAGTAGTCAGTGGTCAGCATTGCCATTTGACTGATGGGAAAATGGAGGTTCTCAGAGGGCTGATGCTTCTTGAATTTGTTGTGTGACCTTTCCCCTCAGTCCTGAACCTACTGGCTCTCTCAGCCTGTGTTCCTTCAGCCTTGACCAGCCCAAGGTCACAGTGTCACCACCCCTCATGGTTTCCACTGAAGGAATGACCTTGCCCTGACAGTCAGACCACACTGGCTCTCTGCCACCCTGCATAGGCTGGTGGGGGCAGGGCCCTCTGTGACCCTGGGCCTCACAGACTTCTTGGCCACCATCTTGCACACCCCAGCAGGTATCTGGCACTGGGGCCCCCACCCCAGCTCGCTCACCTTGGATA